AGGTAGAGGTATGTTTGACCTACTCTTCTTACTATTTGCTTGCATCGCAAAAAAAGAAGAAAACGTTGCACACTTGAACTGAGAATTGAGCTTGGCAGGGAGGGAAGCGTGTACACGGCTTTTGAACGTTGAATGTTTTGAACTTCAAAGTATTGGTGTGTCACACAGGATCTACAGTATATACACTACTTGGGTTGGGTCAAATGAAATTATACAAATGAAGATATAACATCAAGTACTCTGGCAGAACCACTATGTGGGCTGCCATGGACTGTAGCCCAATGAAGGTTTTGGGAGAAAAAAATTATTACGCCTATATGGTCTATCTTAACCTAAAAATAAATTTAAAATATATACAATTTCATATCTTATACCAATATCAATAGGCATAGTCAGAGGTCTTCCACATTTGTATTTGGTATCAAAAATTGTCCCAACATCAATTTTAATCTTTTTTAATTAATCTATCTCTAAAAGAGAAGTATTTTCTAAATGAAATTCACCCTTTTGTGAATAATATAGCTCTAATTCGATTTTTTCTTGTGTTTAAAACTAGCATGTTTATAAGATTTAATGTATACTTTTATTTATAGAAAAAACTATAGAAACTATAAGTACCAAACAAAAAATTATCATTAGATTTTAAGCTAATAACTTTAGTTAGCTCACCTATTAAAAATGAGCACCAAAAGTGTTGGCTAACTAAAGTTTATGCATGCACTTGATGCATGTACTCGAAAGGAAAACTGTCGATGCATGCACTTGATACAACACTTTTCGATATTTTTATTACTTAATTACTTATTATATTTTGCATATTCACCATTCAAAATGAGCTCCAGAAGTGTTGGCTTCAATTTGTGGATGCTAATTAATTTACCAAAAAATCTGCTTGGTTACAAATGTGGACTTGGGATTTATTGGGAAGAAGTCTTGTTAGGCTACATCATTCAGGGAGAGAAACTCTCATGTAATATGGATAACACTTTTTGTTATCTCTGACTAATAACACAATGACACGTAGGATAACTTTTCCACGTGTCATTGTGTTATTGGCCTGGAATAATAAAACAATGATAACCCCGTTACATGTAAGTTTTTTAGCATCCTAAGGCCATGACATACCAAGACCTCTTTGAGAACTTACAGAGAGGGTCTTAGCTTTTTTTTTAATTTTTACAGATTATCCACCAAGAGGGATTGTCGGCAACGGGACTCAAACCTAGGCTTGGATAGCGAAGAGAACAATTCTTCTTTTTTAATTAGGAGTAAATTGGATTTTTATTTGAAGGATGATGTGTCAACTTTTAAATCTCTTATATTAAATTTTAATGAGGTGGCATGTGTATGACAAAAGTCAAGCAGATCATAGTAGATAAAATCATAGCAAAGGATCCAAGTCTATGTTGTTAAGGGTTAATTTCGGTTTGGTACTTGAAGTTGCATCCTTAAAGCAAGTTTGTCCATACACTTTCAATTTTAACAATGCAATACATCAGTATTGAAAAATTGTTGCAATGTGATTCTGCCATTAAATTGACTATTAAAAATATATGTTAAGTGCTGATGTGGGCATGTGAGATCCACTTTTTTGTTTAATTGAAATAAAATATTTTAAAAAACTAGAATTAAATTTAATAAATAATTATTAAATATTGAAAAACCGCAAAAAGCAAAAGAAAAAAAAAACTCCATCCCTCCCTCTCTTTCTCTGCAACTCTTTCTCTGAAGCGGCCATGGAAACAGATTGAGATCACAGCCTTCAGCTGGGAGGGGGGAGAGACCACATAGTAGTAGATCCAAATCCACTCTAACTTGGAGGTATAAAAATTAAATTAAACTATAAATATCTAAATAGTGCTCCAAAAATCCCTAATTGAATTTCAGTGAAGTCAAAGCAAACCAAAAATCCTTGTAGTCGCATCCAAGCATCTAACAATGGCCGCTCAAGAAGGCGACAGTTGTGAAGACGATGCAATGGCATGTAGATGTCTCCATTCTCCTTCCACCGACTCAACATTGCCTCTGGTCCATTAACTCAAATGTCTTCATCAGGCAGCTTCCGTCTCAAGGTTTCTCTGTCCAGCTCTAGCATGCCGCCACCACACTCCTCACTCTCCTCGATGACCACCGTCGAACCCTAGCACCAGCCCACTAGGCCTCACTCTCACAACCTTGGACTCGCATCGCTGACCTCTCAAAATCCTAGAGCTAGGATCCAGAACCGGCCTCATCGGAATCGACACCGCTGTCACGCTGGGGGGCTTAGTAAAGGGAGGAGAGAGAGAGAGAGAGAACGGTGGATTTTGAAGATTAATATTAAACAAATAAAGTCCAATTATTATTATTTTGTCTTTTTGGAACCGGGAGGAGCAGGTTGTGTAGGTAAACATTTAGCAATTTGACCTTTTTGTATTTAAATAAATGTGAACCATTGATCTCATCTAACAACCCAGCAACTTGATGTATCCATATATTAGAATTTTCGTCGTCTTCTCTAACCTAGTTCCCTTCTTTATGCTAATTTCTTTCTCTCTCTCTCACGCAGCTTCCTCCCTCATTCTCTCCACCTCTGTCGTTCTCTCTTTTTTTGAATTCTATCTTCCCTCTCTCCATTCGCTCCCTCCACAGCTTCTCCATCCACGACTACAGATTCCTCCAGTCCTATCAAAAGGTTTTTGTCTCTCTCTTTTCAAGACAGATTTGAGTCAGTCACAATCTTTAGAAAACTTTAAGTGAGAAAGTGTTTGATCTTAGTTCTATGCCTAAGGAGTTGCCAGAATTTGTCAATAAGCATTATCTCTCTACTCTCTGCACTCTCAACCAACAATTTGATATTCAAAATGAGTTTTTAACTCCAGCACATGAGATTTATAGAAGTTACACATACATGAGAAAAAAATTAAATTAAAAGAATGAATTTCCTCTTGGTATTATTATGTCAAATTCTATACATTGTGAAGCTGACACACATTTTGTACAACTTACACGACTCACTAAAAAACAAAAAACAAAAAAAACCCAGAGCTTGCGGGTATTTTCCTGTGCTAATTATTCATTATCAAGAAAAATAAATCAACTAATTGTTGCCACTAAAATCATTGGTATGGCTGAACTTGGATATGCCCCCCCCCCTCTGCAGGCTCTCCTAGCTCTTTGTTTGGTACTCTACTTCAAGGGATAATTGGACTACCTTCTTGGGGCGGGACAGAACCACTAAGCATTTGCTTGATCAGATGGAAGAAGGGACGATTAAGATTAGAACTGCCCCTAATTTGCAGAACATCTTTCTTCATCCTCATCGTCAAAGTTTCCTCCCCATGCAACAGTCTGCAGGCCTCGTATGAGTGCATGCTCATAAGAAAAACTACTACCATGGCCACCAAAAGCATGTTTACAAACTTCATTTTGTTGGGCAAAGGGGAAAAAATTGCTCTTGCTGCTTTTTTCTGTTTGGGTTTCTTTGTTGGTCGCTCTGTATGCAATGCAAGCAAATGATGGAATGAATGAAGAATAGATGGGGGCTATGGGGCTTTTTATAGATACGCATATCATAATGGACCAATTTTGCATGACTTGAATTTTTGAATATATAAAATCTATTCGTTGTTTTTGACTATTTGACGATTATGTTGAAGGGTTAGATCAAAATGCAAAACACCTTCTTCTTTTTTTGTTTAAAAAAATATTGTAATTCAAAATATTTTAGGTAGAATTTATATTTGTTTACTTATTTTCTAGTATATAATTTGCAATTAAGTTTACCTGATTCAAAATTTATTTTATTTTAAAATAAAAAATCAGTAGTACTGGAGGTATGTTGACCTATTCTTCTTACTATTTGCTTGCATCGCAAAACAAAAAAGTCGCACACTGGAACTGAGAATTAAGCTTGTACACGGCGTTTGAACGTTGAATGTTTTGAACTTTAAAGTATCGGTATGTGCTAACCTTTTACACGACAGGATGTATATACACTACTTGGGTTGGATTGTGTCAAATGAATCTTAAAGTAGTTTATTGGAAATCATATTTCATAACCAAGGAGCTATAGCTGTAATAAATATATATATATATATATATATTTAATATAAGTAATAGTCTAAACTACAAAAGGGAGGGAGTTTCTTACACATACCACGTACTCAGTGAAAATAAGGAGTATTGACTGGTAAACCAGTGGTTTTAGATTGGAACCCTGATGACACTTTGATAAATAAATTATCGTGTTATGTGACATATCAGTTAACTAAAAATTGGTAAATGGGTTGATGCTCGTTGTAGATCTCATGCCCCTAATGTGAAATATTAGACTTTGTGTATCTACAATGCATGCAAGCGAAGTGAATTTCTGTCACGCCCAGGATCCAGGGGTCAATGGAAACCCCGCGCCCGGTGCGTGAGAAAATAAAAACTAAAATAAAATAAAACGAAGCCGAAACATGGTTTAAAATATAAACTTATCTTAAAAAAATAGATCCGAAATCTTACAGCTTTACAAGAAATAAATAAAGTTCTAACACTCTCTTTTAGTTCAGCCTCAACTGGTTTAGTCCTTTTCTTGCCCACTAATTTATCTGAAAAGTTAAACAGAGTGAGGAATGAGCAACCACCGCTCAGTAGGGATATGAGACCTTACCACAGTTGACACCGAATTTTGCAGAGATTAAGTGAGAAAACACAAGTGAGACTCGAGGGTCGGTAACTCGCCGCTCTAAGGAATCCACCAAAGAGATAAGAGTCGAGAAGTTAGAAGAACTTCTTCTTCTAGAAAGCCAAATGCTATGAAAACTCACTCAAATTCTTGTCTGTTTATTCCATAAAGGGGTGAAAGGTTTACATAGTGTTCATGGAACAATCCTCCATGAATAGGATAGCCTTCTTAATTAGCCATACATGCACCAACGCATAATGCCCACAATTAATTACCATACATGAATCAAAAATAGAAAACATTGTAACGAACTTGACTTAAATGAGATGAATGCACCATGTGATATTTAGAAGAGGTCAGATTCGGTGTCATACGCTTCCGCTGCACGTGAACTCGTCCCTGAGTTCTCTTTGTCTTCACTGCCATGATACGGAGAAAGGTCTGCCACGTTGAAGGTTGCTGACACTCCATAATTTCCTGGGAGTTCAATCTTGTAAGCATTATCCCCTACACACCGGAGTACTTTAAATGGGCCATCAGCCCGTGGTTTCAACTTTCCATGCTTGCCCTGAGGAAACCGCTCTTTGCAAAGATGAATCCATACCAAATCTCATTCTTTAAACGCAGCTGGCTTCCTATGCTTGTTAGCTTGCCTTTGATACTTCTCATTTTGTTTGATGATGCACTCTCGCACTTGTTCATAAAGCTTTTTGATATTTTTAGCTTGCTCTTCTGCATCTCCACTAAACTAATAGCTTGTAGGTAGTGGCGCTAAGTCCAAGGGACTTATTGGATTGCTCCCATAAACCACCATGAAGGGACTAGAACCAGTAGATTGACTTGTCGAGCGGTTGTAAGCAAATTCAGCTTGTGCTAAAATTTGATCCCATTGGCGAATATTTTTACCCACCAAACTTCTTAAGAGATTGCCCAAGCTCCGATTGACCGCTTCAGTCTGTCCATCCGTTTGAGGATGGTGGGAGGACCTGAATTGTAAGGTTGTGCCCAGCTTCCTCCAAAAGGTCCGCCAAAAATGGCCAACAAATTTAGGATCTCTGTCAGATGTAATTGTCTTCGGAATGCCATGAAGCTTGACAATTTCTCGTAGAGGCCATCCCTTGTCTTGAAAGCAGTTTTCCATTCATCTCCGGGTCTCATACGAATTTGATGATATCCACTTCGCAAGTCTATTTTAGAGAACACGGTGGCACCATGGAGTTGATCAAGAAGATCATCAAGACGAGGAATAGGAAAGCGATATTTGATGGTTATCTTGTTCACTGCTCAACTATCCACACACTTACGCCAAGTGCCATCTTTCTTTGGTACGAGAAGTGCGGGTACCGCACAAGGACTCATGATGTCTCTTATTAATCCTTTGCTCAACAGCTCATCAACTTGCCTCTGGAGCTCCTCAAATTCTTTAGGGTTCATTTTATATGTTGCTTTATTTGGAATAACGACCCCGGTAATGAAGTCAATGCTATGTTGGATATCCCTCATTAGTGGAAGCCCGGCTGGAATTTCCTTTGGGATGACGTCTTAAAATTCTTAAAGCAAAGGGCGCAATGTAGGAGGTATCCTAACCTTCATTTCATTCTCTTCCATTACCACCAGTGCATATGCTTCCTTAATTTCTTCAAAAGCAATCAAGAACTCAGACTTGGTCAATAAGTTGTTTCCGTCTACTTTCATTGGCTTTGGATTGCTCCCTGACTTCATATGACCCAAAACAATCTTAACTCCATCCTTTTCAAAGGTATAGGAGTTTCTGAACCCGTCATGCACAACTTTCCTATCATATTGCCAAGGCCTCCCAAGTAGCAAATGACACGCATCCATGGGAACGACATCGCACCATATTTCATCCTTATAATTTTGCCCAATAGAAAACTGAACTAAGCACTTTTTGTTCACCCTTACCTCATTCCCCTTTTGCAACCAAGAGAACTTGTAAGGTTGTGGGTGCTCCATCATTTTAAGATTTAATTTCTCCACCATGGTGGTAGCCACCACATTTTCACAACTTCCTCCATCAATGATGACATTGCACACCTTGCCAAGGGAAGTACACCGTGTGTGAAATATATTATTTCGAAGCCAATTGTCTTCCTGCACTTGGGCTGCATTTAAACTTCTTCGAATGACTAAGCTCTCACCTTCATCACCATATGTTAATTCTTCATCAAACCTTGGTCCCTCATCCAAATTTAAACCAACTTCTTCATTGAATTCTTCCTCATTTTCTTCTACAAGCGAAACTATCTTGCGGTTTGGGCAGTCAGATGCAATATGACCCAATCCCTGACACTTGAAACAACGAACTGAGTTTGAACGACTTGAACTCGCTGAACCTTCTTGCTTGCTGGTTGGCTTTGAGAAGGCATCTGTTTTTGGAGCTGAGGCAAGTTTTCCAATAGCTATTGGTGCTCGATTTGAATTACCCTCCTTGAGCCAAGATCTTGAGGTACCACCACGGCTTTCCTTAATATGCTTTTCAACCTTTAAAGATAATTTCTCAACATCCCCATAAGACCAATATGGTTGTAGTTGTACAATGTTGCGAATCTCATAGCGGAGTCCCCCAAGATAGCGAGCAATTGTTTGCTCCTCTGGTTCTATGATGTCGCAAAGCATGCGTAATTTGTCAAATTTTGTTGTATACTCCTCCACAAACACATCACTTTGTTTGAAATTATGAAACTTGAGGAAACAATCTTGGCAGTAGTTTTCTGGAATGAATTTCTTCTTCAACTCTCTTCTCATCTTTTCCCATGATTCAATCCACCTCTTTCCTTCCCAAACCCGCTGTTTGTTGAGATGTTCCCACCAAATTGAAGCATGTTTCTTCAATTTGATTGCTACTAGTTTCACCCTGCGATCTTCTGCCACATCCTTGTAATCAAATATTCTCTCCACATTGTTGAGCCAATCCATGAACTCTTCTGGCTGCATTTTACCTTCAAATTCAGGGACGTCAACTTTGATGCCAAAGTTTTGCTGGAAATAATTATTCCTTCCATGATGCTTATGGTTGTTCTCAATGCTTGAGTCTCAATCATGTTCACGACCGAAAGGGTTGTACTCCTCTTCGCCATCCGATGCTTCATTCTCTGACTCATAATGGGGATCATCATGTTCTAGAGGTTCGTAGCACTCTAAACGCTGCTGCAGTTGCTGCACTTGTCTCTTTAGATCGTCCACTTCGATGTCACGCAGATATCTTTCACGAACTGGTGGATTTTGTCGATTCTAAGGTTGACGACCTCCTCGACCTCCATGCCTTCCAGCCATGAACGGAAAAGGTCTGATACCAATATGACACCGGATTTTGCAGAGATTAAGTGAGAAAACACAAGTGAGACTCGAGGGTCTGTAACTCGCCACTCTAAGGAATCCACCAAAGAGATAAGAGTCAGGAAGTTAGAAGAACTCCTTCTTCTAGAAAGCCAAATGCTATGAAAACTCACTCAAATTCTTGTCCATTTATTCCATAAAGGGGTGAAAGGTTTACATAGTGTTCATGGAACAATCCTTTATGAATAGGATAGCCTTCTTAATTAGCCATACATGCACCAACGCATAATGCCCACAATTAATTACCATACATGAATCAAAAATAGAAAACATTGTAACGAACTTGACTTAAATGAGATGAATGCACCATGTGATATTTAGAGGAGGTCAGATTCGGTGTCAACAGTAGATTGATATAACTAAATTAAGTGACATGCAATCACACAGCCAAATATTACATTAATAATAATGCATGAATGAACTTCAATTCTACTCAACCCGCTAATCTATATAATAAGGCAAGCAAATCTGCATGTCCCATACCATGCATTTTACCATTGTGATTCCGAATGCCCTATTATATAAACTAACACCCATCTCAATTATCCCATAATTCCTCTTTTGCTAGTCATCTTGTCTAAACGGTTGATCTCCAAGAATCACCCAATCGACAATTATACTGCCGATTTCCTAGTCTACTGTGCACTCGAGCTTGCCTGAACTTGGTCCCTACAATGGTCATACTCAACTACACAAAAAACTATTTACATTACCCTCTTTTCCATCAATATTTTCTCAATCCAACAACTCCAACTAATTTCCATGACATGATATAATTATGCCAACTTTATTCAAATAGTTCACAATACGTAAATATCTCATATCAAGAACATTATACAATATCACACATAATATAGAGCTCACGAAATTTAATTAAATCAATCTTATGTAAAAGCTCCCAAGAAATCCCTACCTTGTTTCCAAAGCTACCTCCAAGTTAAGAAAACAAACAAGCTACGACCTCTAACTGCTCCTGAGAATTTGATCACTACTTGCTTTCTCTTGTTTTCTTTCTTCTTTTCTATCTCTCCCTCTCTTTATTTTTTTTCTTCTCTTTGCATGCACTACCATGCAATGTCCTGTATTTTCAAAATCAAAGGAAATGACCCTTATTTATAGTAAATACTAAGGTGGCAACCAATGGGTTCTAATTGGTGGAAGATGCACTTCAACTGATCACTTTTGCTCCAAGTTTTAGTAATTATTAATTCCTCAATACCACCTCATACTAAAAAAAGGATTAGTCATCTAGTGGAATGACACTTGTCGAGTAATCAATCTCAAATAGAAAAGTTTTAGCACAACTGTCAAGCTCAAAGCAAGGAAAAACTACCACCTCCTACTTATGTTATCCACCTCATGCTTCTCATATACATATTTACTATAATAAAATACATATAATTAGTAAAATGATAAAACAACTATATATATATATATAATCAATTTAAAGATATAACTAAATAGGCGGCAAAATGTATATATTTTTTAAAAATACGGGTCTTCACAATTTCCCAAAGGGTTGGCTTCAAATTGTGTCAGCTAAATTTACCAAAGTGAAGGATGTGAGCAAAAACACGGCATCAAATAGAAAATGATCGTTGAAACGAACTTTTTACCGAATGTGACCTTTTATTTTTCTCTTTGGCACGAAACGATAAGTTCAATTGACTTGAAGGTGCGTTCCAAATATGGCATGTACGTATCACGGTCAACTAAGGTCAGAAGTGCTTGCTTCGCGTGATGTTACTATGTACGTGTTTGATTTGGTCCAAAATTGCTGCATGAACTATATATTTGCGCTTCTGCAGTGTAATTTCTATATATTTCTATATTCAAATATTGAAGTAAAACAATAGCATATAATAAAAGAAGCAATAGCTTTTCTACATTTTATTTTTCATTTGCTGGTCGACAAAAAGGCAATATCTTTTAAACTCATATCTGTTTATAGGAAAATAGAAAAAGAACTGAGCAAATAGAAATTGAGGGAAAAAAGAAAAGAAGAAGAAGAAAGAATTTCCTTTGTACTTGGTATTATTCTGTCAAATTCATATACATTTTGTATAACTTACACAACTTACAAAAGAACAAAAAACAAAGAAGCCCTGGCTTTCAGGTATTTTTCCTGTGCTTGATTATTCATTACCCAGAAAATTAAGTTAATTAAATGTTTGGAACTAAATCTTTGGTTGTTGATGGTTGAACTTTGATATGTAGATGCCCCCTCTGTAGATGTATGTACTACTTCAAGGTTTCGTGGGATTCGGACCGCTGGACGGGACAGTGCCACTAAGTATCTGCTTGATCAAAGGGAAGAAGGATGGAGGATTAACACCCCTAATTTGGAAAACATCTTTCTTCATCCTCGTCGTCAAGTTTTCTTCCCCATGCAACACCCTGCATGCCTCATATGAGTGCATGTTCATAAGAAAAACAACTACCATGGCCACCAAAACCATGTGTACAAACTTCATCGTGTTGGGAAAATAACAAAAAAAATTTGCTTTTTCTGTTTGGGTTTCCTTTTTTGGTGATCGCTCTGTATGCAATGCAAGCAAAAAGATGGAAATGTATGAATGAACAATAGATGGGGGATACGAGGCCTTTTATGTATAGATATGTGTGCATCAAAATGGACCAATTTACACATGACTTGAATTTTTGAATATACATCTATTTGTTCCTTGTTTTGACTCTTGACGATTGAATGAGTCGGGTTTTACTGGATTGTTAACTCATACTCCGAATAGATCAAAGTGCAAAACACCTTTTTTTCTTCTTTTTTTTGTTTTTTTCTTTTTGTTGTAATTCAAAATATTGTAGGTATAAGTTATATTCGTTTACTTATTCTACTATACTTTGCAATTAAGTTTCCCTGATTGAATTTTTATTTTATTTTAAAATAAAAAATTAGTAATGCTAGAGGTATGTGTTGACCAACCCTTGTTGACTAATTCCTCTCACTATTTGCTTGCACCGAAATGTTGTGAACTGAGATTTGAGCTTGGCGAGGAGGGGAGCGTGTACACGGCCTTTGAACGTTGAATGTTTTGAACTTGGAAGTATTTGTGTGGTTGTGTGTTGTGCTAACCTTTTACGCGACAGAATTAATGTTAAATTATATAGTTGATTGGCAAATATGTTTTACTATAGCTGCAATATTTGAAAGTAAGGGTAAACATCATGTTATTGACTATATTTACTTGCTGGCCATGGGAGAACAAGTACAAAACCCAGTTTCCACCTCAATTAGTTTGACCTGGCCTTTGTTTCTTCCATATATAATCTTATGCTGTGTTTTCTGTTGTGTTTGTATTGCTACATACATGCTATATATGCTTGAATTGAATGTATATATATAAGAAGGTTATTTTGAAACAACAAAAATCTTCTTTCCTTTTGTACTACCAATAGTGATAGGTAGTTGCAATGTTAATCTATAATAATGCTTCTGATACCAACTCATTTTATCATCAATATTTGGTTACCCGTGGATGTAACACAACGACTATGTTACGGCAGCATGGATGATGTAGGGTAGATGGAGCAATTACGGTGAATGATTGAGTTAACTGTAAATTACATATAAGAAATTAATGTACGACATATAACATGAACAATTATGTCATATGCCACATTAGTCGGTAAACAAACATGAATATATGAGTTGGTGGTGCCCATGTAAGATATATCATATTGTGTCGTCTAATTAATTTACCAGAGTGAAAGATGTAAGCCACCAAATAAAATGATGGTTGAAACAAACTTTTTTCTGAAGGTGGCCTTTTCTTTTCTTCTTTGGCACGAAACGATAAGTTCAATTGACCTTTATATGTTGTGTACATTGTCAACTAAGGTCAGAGGTGCTTGATTCTGCTGGTGTTACTTTGTACGTGTTCAAAATTCTGTCCAAAATTGCAGAGCATGCATTCTCTTTTTGCACTTCTGCAGCGTAATTTCTATAATCTATATTGAAACAAGCGAACACCTTCCTCTCTTCTTCTTTTTTTTTTTTTTCATTTGCAGATCAACAAAAAGGCAATAGAAATTAAAATAAAAAGAAAGAATTTCCTCTGTACTTGATATTATTCTGTCAAATTCATATACACTGTATAGGTTTTTGTACAGCTTAAACAACTTAATAAAGAAAAGGAAAAAAGCCTCAGCTTTCGGGAGTTTTTCCTGTGCTATATTATTCATTACCAAGAAAAGAAATAAATAAAATGTTTGGAACAAAAATCTTTGATTGATGCCCCCCCCTGCAGAGTACGTATACTAGCTCTTTGTGTGGTGCTCTACTTCAAGGTTTCGTCGGATTCGGACCGCTGGGCGGGACAGGACCTCTAAGTATCTGCTTGATCAAAGGGAAGAAGGAGGGAGGATTAACACCCCTAATTTGCAAAACATCTTTCTTCATCCTCGTCACCATCAAATTTTCTTCCCCATGCAACACTCTGCAGGCCTCATATGACTGCATGTTCAGAAGAAGAACCACTACCATGGCCACCAAAATCATGTGTACAAACTTCATTTTGTTAGGCAAATGACAAGAAATGTTTTTTTTGGGTTGGGTTTCTTTTTTTGATCGCTCTGTATGCAATCCAAGCAAAAGATGGAACGAATGAATGAATGAATGAATAATAGGGGTGAGATATAGGGCTTTTTATATGCATCAGTGTGGACCAACTTACATGAACATGACTTGGATTTTTCAATACATGTACGTATTTTATTCTTTGATTTGACTATTGACAATTATGTTACAGGGTTAGGATTGAATGGGTCGTCATGCCCAGAAGGGGAACTCAGTTTAATTTTGTAATTAAGTTGAGCTAGCTTTTTGGTTACCTATTCTATAATATTTTATAATTAAGTTTTACTGGTTTAGTTAATTAATTATTTTTTAATCCACAGTATTAGAGGTATGTATGTTGACCTTGACCACCTCCTCCTGTTGAGTTTTTCTTGCATCGAAATGTTGCATAGTTTTGAATTTGAAGTGAGATTAGAGAGCTTGGCATGGAGGGAAGGGAAGCGTGTCCAAGGCCTTTGAACGTTGAATATTTTGAAGTTTTATTGTTCCTCATATGGTGTTGACTGAAGTCCCATTTGACTTGACATGTTTCTAACAGGACCCCGCGTTTTTAATTAATTAGGACCTCTTTTATTCTCCAGCCACAGCTTTGTTTTAATTTAATTTCGACAAAATTATACAAGAATAAGTCATGACCTAGAACGGGTAAGTGTCTTAATTATATTAAAGTAAGTCCTTGTCCTTGGGCAGACATTTCTTTAAAAGTACATCTTAGTATCGCATCCACAACGTTATGTGCATTAGTAGACCTATTAAGGTGTAAGGAGATGCAGTAGGTACTGCATATTGCATCTCTTCTCAGCTTAAGAGATGCACTCTAGGCGTTCGACAAAAGCCTAAACGAAGTCTGTGTTGCTTTGAGGTGCTTATTTTTATTTTTAAATCTTGGCCAAAACAACACCGTTTTGGACCATGATTTTTTTTTTAAAGAAAAAGAAAGAGGAAACCCGGGCTGCCATTTCGTGGGCTTTAACCTATTTCTATCTAGGGCCTACATATAAAAGGACAAAAGGCTTTAAACAAGAGGTTTTAACTCTAGTGGCTTTCTTTTTCTTCTACAACAATCGTAGGTTATTTGTAATGCTATTTTTTTCTATGAGTTATGAATGACATTGGTATTGTTTAAATTATAAGGATATTTGATTGTTAATTTTTTTATGTAAAGAAGCCTTTTAAAATTGCACTTCTGTTAAAAAATTCCTGAATCCGCCAGTGACTATGTGTACCGTGTTTATTAGCAACATCTCCAACAAGTAATAAATAAATGTGGTACATGGTTATCACTAATGACAACTTTATACCATTATCTTGAAAATAACAGTTGGTTTAAACTCTTGTCTTTGTTGTTGTTGTCAGAAGTTGGTTTAAAGGGCTCGACATGTTGAATTCAAGACTTCCTCTGTTATTTTGGCCACCCTCAAGACTTTTTCAGCGAATCTAATGCATTAAGATATTTTAATCTTGCATTTATGTAGCAGATAAAACATCACTAATAAATGGTGCTTTAAATTGATGACATGATTTAGACTTGGGGTTTTCTTAATTTTCACTCTAGTTTCTGTTCTTGAAAACCTGATGATATTTATTTGGCAAAATCAGATTTATTATACATTATTGTTCAATTCCTTTTGCACTTGTCATGTGTCCTGAAGGAGTTTGGAAAGGGCTGCATATTTCTTTTTTCTGTTCAAAATTGATCCCTATGTCCCTCTCCCTCCCTCACCCTCCAGCTAGTGCATCACATATTATATAAAACAAATAGAATGGTTTCTACATAAATAACAAATTATTTGAATTTATAACAATTTCATGGGTTACAACTTACAACATTAGTTATATCCCTAAGAAAGAAACAAAATAAAAAGGGGGTTAATTATTTATCATCCAAAATAGAAAATGCTGTGCTACATATACACAGTTGAACTAATTAAGAGCTAAGCTTTTGGTGCTCAGTTCTGAGTCTTATTAACACTGGAACATTAACCCTTGGTCTCAGTGAAGTGAGGAAAGTCATGGCTGCAGGCATAGAGTGGTTTGGCTACATGTTCATCTGATTCAGGTGCAAATACCCGAGCCGCGGCCGGGAATGTGGGTGCAGGGATTGGGGCCAGATGGGGGCGCTTTACCCCTAGCGAGGTACTGAGACACAAGAGCAAGACCATGGTTCTTAGCCCATTGCTCTGCTTTCAAATGCCTCATTTCTCCAAGTTGTAGACAAGAAAACAAAATGAGCAGAACGACAAGAGTTGAGAACAGCTGGGTTTTCCTAAAACAGAACCTCATTTAATGGAACTTTTATCTTTTGGTTGCAGGATTTTCCTCTATCAGTCTCCTTGGTTTTCCTTTCGTGTTTTTCCTCTGTTTAAATGAATTTTGACAGTGGTTTGTAAGGCAATGGACTTTGGGATGGTGGAAGTGTTGGTGGGGGTGAGCTCTTATATAGAGAGGGATTTTTAATTTCCAAAAATCATAACTTTGACCTGTGCTTTGTTCTTATATTTCTGAGTTTGAAATTGACTCAGGGTTCAAACCAGTGCATGGCCCATTTGGAATGGATCAATACACGGTAACTTGGGCGCCAAACAGTTGCACATTGTGAGGATTGGTGTGCAAACAAATTCTATTTGTGTTTTTATATGCATTGGCTCAATTCTATATTTGTGACGTTATTGTGGTGGTATCTCAAGCCAATCATGCACTGTCATATTATTTAACTCTCACCTGAATGTATTTATGTGATTAACTCGAGATACACAACATCCCCATTGTATGGAAGTTTTCTCCAAAACTTGAGTTGCAAGCCATATTGAACAGAACAATTAAAAGTAAACTTATGCTGTCATGATTGATTACGACCAAGCCCGTATGAACTATTCGCTTCTTTATACCTATAGGACACGTAACAAGCGAACTACGCAAAGCCATGAGCAAAGCATAATGCAACGAGTCAAATTCAAACAATATTTTTACAGTGGAATTGGGGTCGCATAAGAACAGGTTTTAATATGACAAAACATTTCCCTGTTCTTGATTGATTAAGTCGCGTTCTTGAATTGCAGACCTAAGCTGCTGGGCCGTAGACAAAAGTTCCCATCCTTCCCAAAAACAGGGGTTATTTATTCATCAGTCAGACAACTCCATTCAAAAAATAGAGTTTGAATAGCAAAGCGTATTACTTCAGGTTTATCTCGGGCCAATTCATCTGATTATTTTCTGTACAAATATATTATGTTCATTTAGATTTAAGAGGGGCGTGTATACGTAAACCGTAAACAGTAAAACAGTAACTGAGAAGCCTTTCAAAGAACACAGATAAATTCATAACATAGATTCAGTACATCTTCCGAACATGTTCGAAATTATCGCGATATCTTTTGCATATATGAACTACACAACTTCATTCAACAATCTGAAGTTGGATTACAAATCATCAATGTGATGAGAAAACTCATCAGTTAGTCAACAACAAGAAAACCCACATTTTATATCAGGTAGATGCATACAGATACATGTTATAAACACAACTTTACAGTGGGATCATTTTGAAAGAGAGGCCACCAGCTTCTCCTTTAACTGCTCGGCATCACCACCTTCAGTTGGAATGGAGAATGTATGGATAACCTTATCGTTGTCTGTTATTGAAACATTAGACTCTTGAGCCACAATTTTGTGTTCCCTAAGAGTGTTGATGACTTCAGAAACCGGGTGAGAATCCAATGGGCAGTTCATCCTCACAACTGCATCCTCATGTCGTTCCTGAAAATCAATCTCTGGAACCGGAAACTGCTTTTGATTATTGTTTCCCATCTGGTTTTCAGTTTCCATGACCCTGATCTTCATCTGGAGATCAGTGATATAAGTAATGGCATCACCAAGAAGAGAGGCTTTGTCCATCTTCGAAATGTTAGGAACAACAGCTCTTAGTGCATAGAACCTCTGGTTAAGCTTCTCGCGCCTCTGCCGCTCTGCTTCCACATGATTCAATGGTTCTTCTCTCCCATTGGCAGGCTTTCTCCCTCTCTTTCTGGGTTTCCGCTCATCAATTTGTGCTGAGGACTCATCCTTAGGCAGCTCCAAACTTGAAACTATTGTCGGAGCACTGAAACCCCCAACCATCATTTGGTTCAATTGCGGAAACAGTTTTACTTCACTATCCTCACTTTGACATCCATTTGAAGTACCTACTGATTGTAATTCAAATGACTCTGGAGGAAATGTAGAATCTTCCTCTATCTTTGGGGAAAAGGCAATATTGATCGATTGTGATTTTGGACCACCAAGACTGAGCTCACGTCCAAAAATCATTGGAAATGCCTTTGCCTGAACAGAACTAGATTCCCCAAATAAATTTCTGACCATATTTACTAGATTCTGTTCTTCTGGATTTGCTTTGACTGAACCAAGCTCAACAACTCCTGATTTCATAGGTACAAACACCACTGTTTGGAACCCGGCCAATCTTGCTAAATATGATCTTGACTGGTAATGGTGTAAACAACCACCCACATCTGAAACCCAAATTGATTTACCGGACTTGTACGACTCCCCAGGACCACTGTGTGAATCAAGTTGAAATGCATAATACATTGAAGTGAGGTAAAACATTTCCACATCTGACACCCCATCCAACCTCCTAGCATAACCCTCATCCAAACCACCAAAACATGCATGGAGCTTCTCAAGCACCCACTTTTTCACCTCCTCTTTCTTCTGCACTCCCTCAAAACTGCCATCCAAACTGGAATTCTCGCCTGCAACTCCGCCATCCTTTGTGTCTCTGCAATGTCCATCACCCCAAATCAAGGCAGATCCACCAGATTTCGAGCCGACAACCTGCCAGAAAATGGCATAATTCCAATTGGATCCTTTGACGAGCTGGGACAGGCCCTGCTGCACACCCAATTTACCAGGCGGCCTAACCAAGTCTGTGAACACATTTTCAGAAACCAGAGAGGTCAAGAACTGGCACGCTTCAGTACCTAGTACAGACTCCACCATGACCCTGTCTTCTTCATTCACCCAAAATTTCTCTCCCATCTTAATTTCTCCTTTTACAACTAACTCAAACAACCCGAAAAATGCTAAAACTACGAAACTCAAAATACTTATCTTGCTTACCTTAGAACCACCAAATATAGCTCTCAAACTTCTTTCTCGACCAACTAGAGAAATTCACAATCTTTGTGCAAACCTTCCACAAGCAAATCAAGCTACTACTTGAATCACAAAGTATAGCTCTGAAATTCAGCTCATCTCATCGATTCATTTCTACACAAATATCAGATATTTGACAAGATATCTCGAACAGAACTATCAGCTTCATATGAACCTTAAAAACACTCTTAAATCACATATACAGCACTGAAAGCCGACAAATTTGAGAAATTTAAGCTTACCCATGAAGCAGATCTTGAGAATACATCATATCCACATACAAAGACCCTCACTTTGCAGCTTATGAAGTTTTGGGAAGCACAAAATTGGGTTACAAAACTCCAAAATATAGGCCAAGAACAAAAGCAGGCATCCAATTACCTGAAAACTGATATGGGTCTGTAGCTGAAACTAGGGTTCACCATAGAAAGTTGGGTTCCAAATCAGAACAAGTGTACAAGAAAGCTCACAAACGTGAGGAGAGTGGGTTTCTTCCAAACTTCCAAGATCTAAATGTTAGGGTTATTTATTTATTGTTTTATATTATTGGTATTATTAGTATTCTTCCAGATGTGACTCTTTCTTTGGACCCTGACGACCTGACCACCCAAAATTGAGGCGGCCAGCAGATTTCCCATGTGTTCCTCGGCTTTTTGTAGAATCGCTTTTGGGAATGGGTCAGTTGGCCCAAACAGTCCTTGCGGCCCAGGCCCATTAAAATAAAGGGCATAATAACCTAAATATTAAGATGACAGACATAAATCTGTCACACACCATGCATTGAAATTTGAAACATTTTGACCATGAAACAGCATAAAATTTTGGGACAAGAAAGTTTACATGGAAATGATTTAACTTTGTTCGCCAATAACTGAAAATTAATATACAAATTTATAAATAAACCCAATCCTAGACATGTATTTATAAAAAAACCCACGCACTATTTAAACATAGAAACACACCCAAAATCAACTCCAAAGTCAACTTTTTGGGTGTGTTTATAAATGGGTTTTGAGTGTGTGTAATGATGGGTTTTGGGTGTGTTTATAAAGTGTTTTGGGTGTTGGGTTTTTTTATAATTTCAACCTCCATTTTGGGTGTTTTAGTGAAACTCCCAAATTAATATAAGGCAAGTCCACTTAGGTGCAAGTTGTTTCGAACAAGAAAAAAAAACTTAGGTGCAAGTTGTAGAAACTAGAAAGCAGATGATGGGGTTGGGTTTTCATTTGCTGCAGTGGCCGTCACCGCGTCTGGGGATGTTGGTGCATGGGTTGGGGCCACCAGGGGGCACCTGACCTCTAGCTTGTGGTAGAGACGACACTGTCGTACCACCGAGAGTCACCGGCTTCTTCATGCCTTCAAAAGGCCGAGCAGCTGCTACATCAAGAGGCTTGGCTGTAACAAGTAATGACAAAAACAACACAAATTTAATAGTGTACATTGTTCTTTTTAAACGATGACCCTAATGATGATGGGCAAAATATTAAGTTCTTCCTATCCTAGGTATATGAAAAGGATCTGCACAAGCTAACACAGAGGTTTTGATATCTATATAATACAGTAGGATGGTGTGGAAGTCATTTAGGTTTGTGAGTTGGTACTTACAGAAGTAGAGCTGCTTGTGTGAGTGGATAAGGGAATTTGTATAGACGTATAAGGAAACTACAAATCAAAGTGAAACAAGTTATCAGATAATTTGTCTTGAAAAGGTAACCCAGACTAATAATATTCATGTGCAATTGATTTATTATGTGCATGCAAGTTGGTCGGTATTGTTTAATACCATAAGCGGACGTGTATTGTGTTAATTTCTTTCATTAACCTGAGTGACGTTGAATTTGAATTTTGGTCAGTCATTCGAGTTAAGTGCATGATCCATTTGGAAGCTTAGCAGCTAAATTTATAATTATTCTTTAAAATTAACTTTAAAGATCTTGTGGTCTTGTCAACAACCACCAAAGTGTCACGTAATTAACCTTCAAAAAGGTGCAATTCGAATGACTAATTTATCCTCTTGCTTGGTGACCACTGTGGAAAGTTGGCTCCATGTAGAACAAGTATGACAAGCATGCTGCAAAACGACAATTGTAACGCAACTATGTTTTATTTCCTTGCCCTCCTCCTCCTACTCAGGTTGAATATTACCAAAGAGGACAAATGTATATGTAATGCCTGGGACGATTGCCTCAGCCTGGCATATATATATATGTTATATGTATAGCTGTGGCATGCTTATCATAAGGAAAAACGCGTACCTGTGAGTGTGCCATATATTGAGTGACTTGTTACTGCTGTGCTGTGCCGTACTTTAGGAAAAGGCCAAAGAGGATGAAGTGTGCTTCAAGTTGGAGCCATTAATTATAATACGACTGGCTTTGGCCTAGGCTTCTAGATGGTTGGGATCTAACTCCTTTAGTTTATCTTCGGCTGCACTGATATTATTCTTAATTTAACTGCGTAATCACCTAAGTTCAATACATGGTTGCTCATGCCTCCTGCATGTGGACCTTTCATCTTCATTAACAATCAAAACGTGAAAGCATATACATCTAATTACCTGGAAATGGATATCCATGTATAGTATAGGTTAATTGGGGGTTGAAATTAGGCTTCACATAGATAAACTTCGAGCGATACTTTAAACACTCGTTGCAATGCTATCTTGGTCAACTGGCCTAGAGACAGAAAAAGCGGTGGAGAGATTTTTGTTTTTTTGTTTTTGTTTTATTAAAGTAAATTCCTAATTACTTGTTTTATTTTCTTTTAATAAAGGTCAAATTACTAAAACAGAGACATAGATGGTATTCTTATAAAGGTTTGCAAACTCTTTCTTCGGAACTCGACCACCCAAAACTGTAGCAGCAGATGATGTCCTGTGTTTTCCTTATTTGTTGGTGAAAACGATCATAGAATCTTTTAAAACATCCCTCCCAGCCCAGACCAAAACTAGTGGAGACCCAGACCAGACCCATGAAACATAGGGCCGACATAATCCTGTTCCTTAAAATTTGATACATTTAGACGGTGGTTTGGGCTCTCCCAGTTGACAAGGTAGGGCCAAGGACAATTTCCGTGTGTAAATTTAATAAAATTTCCCAGGAAATGGCTGGCCTGCCCATCAAGTTTTGAGAACACAAAACTCATCAACCATCTTCTCTCGCATGCAAATTGTAAAACGACACGGTTTAGTTTCAACTTTCACTTCATTCTGGGATATTATAATATTGAGTTGCAAACTACAAGTGGGGAGAAAGTGAATTTTTCCCAGGAATTTCAACCTAGAAATTCATAGGAAAAACGACGCTGACCCATTGCATGACGCACTTAATTGTGTCCAGTCACAAGTTTGAGATAATTTCATGAAAAAAATTCAACCTATATATGCAGCAGCAGAATGGCGCAATAGCGAAGCCAAGATTTTATGTGTGTGGGGACCTCTCACAAAATATAAATTAAAAAAAATTCAAACTCAAGATATATCAAAACATCAAAAATAATATTGTCTATTCATTACAATCATAATTTTGACAAAAATAAAAATAAAAATTCATTACAATCTATAATTATCCTCGAAAGGTTTTCATATTTTGAAATCATTGCATAACAACCACGTCATCTATACTATTAAAAATATTTTTCTCAATATACGCAACCAAGTAATCATTCATCGATGAATTAACCTAATTTTAAAACTTGATAATATAATATTGAGTTTGAGAGAAAAATTCTCAAACAATGAGAAAGTTTGCTCTCGCCAAGAAAATAGAAAAATGGATTAAAATCTCTTTACTTCTTAGCAATTTGTGTTAAAAGGTAATATAATAATAATAGTTTTATTAAAACTTTTGGGAATGGGTTTGCAAAAGAAGGCGTAGTCTTGGAGGAACTTGCGTTTTTGGCTGGGTAGGGCCCCACGCGGTAAAATAAATATATTAATTAGTATGGGTTATACAATAACAGCATACTACTTTCTGTTTTTCATAATAAAAACCGAGTGGCAGCTATGATTACATTGGTCCCAACGTGACTCCGCCCTTGAGCATGCGGTTGCCTTATAATTTGCTGGGAAGTTGTCTGCGCTATTTTGAATCTCCCCTTCTTTTTTTTCTTTTTTCTTTTTATCCATTCGCACACGTTTAAGATATATGTAATTTGTACATCCCCAGTGTATCGTTTTCTATATTATTACTAATAAGCAAATAAAAATGAATTCGAGAAATTTAAGCAAGAAGAGCTTGTGAAGTTGCAAGTAGCAATAAGACAAAGAAAAGGGCACTTAAAGTCAAGGCTCAACGCGTTGCTTCTTACTCGGTGGTGTTGTTGTCGAGCTTTCTTCTTTTTCTGTGGTTGACATTTTACATTGCATGCAATTAGAATGTCAACCTGCATGTATATGTGAATTAACATTGCTAATCAATCATTAAAAATAAATAATTAATTGAGGAGCTAATTCATATTGGTTAAGGATGGAAATAGTAGTTATTTTGCCCCTCTCTTTGTAGTTTAGACTATTGAAAATATATATATCAGGTTTGAACAATCATAGCACCTTAATTAGTAGTGTGTGTTTGAGAAATCTCATCTCCATATAGTTTAGACTACCGATAATATTTTTTTTTAAATAGTTATTTTGTGGTTTGTTGAAATTGTGTTCGTTTCATCGCCATTAATTAAGAAGAGCTAATTCAAATTGGTTAAAGATGAAATAGTAGTATATGCACATAGCTAAGCTCAATTTGGTTTCGATAATTGAATGAAACAATGAAGGGTGACCTTACCTAGTGGACAAAATTAAAATGTCATCCTGATATATGGTTTGAGTACTGATGGGCTTTTGTTCCAAGGTATATATAGAATTTTTATTTTATTTTTATTTTTTATGTGTTCTTATTGTAAGGAATATGCACACATCCTTGTCCTTCTTAAGTACCCAATAATGCATTTTAACGATTGGAATTTTGAGTTATCCATGCCAAAAATCATCCATATCTGAAGTTCTTGTCATCTAAAATGTGCAAAACAAACTCATTTCGTTGGATAAAACTAAAACAAAAATGTGGATAATCAGATTGAACCAAAAAAACAATCTGAAGAAGCAGAAGAATAAATGCAAAACGTTAAGAAGAAAGGAAAGGAAAGTAATTCATTGCGTTGCCTTAAAGGCTTAAGTTCTACTTTACATATTACTAACTAGAGGATTTGTACACATATGGAATGAAATTCATACTACCAAGGATACCATACAGTCTACAGATAAGTGATAAATCTGCATGAACTATCCTTTTTCCCAATTAATCTATATATCTTTTTACAGCTCTGACTATTGTAGATCAGTTGCAACTCCCATTGCCCGGACGCGGGATATGAGTGCATGGGTTAGGGCCACCAGGTGGCGCTGGACCTCTAGCTTGTGGTCGATACACCACCTTCGAACCAAACGCTGTGGCAGCCGGCTTCATGTCATCCAAAGGCCGAGCAGCTGCTACAGTAGGAGGTAATTTGGCTGTGAAAATGATCAGCAACACAAACATCATCAATTTGATAGTGTGCATTGTTTTCATGGTGATCAAAAGGGTGCGTCAAAGGCTTTTGTATAGGATATAGAAGATGAGGTGTGTGGCTTAAGCGATTTGTGATTATGGAACTGGATGGGGAAAATATATATACGCAGGTGGTGGAAGTGGATTTTTCGCAGCAATTTCAACCTTGAAGTTCCTAGGAAAGAAAGGAGGCTGACACAATGCATGACGCACCCCAAGTGCCTATAGTCACAATTTGAGAGATAATTTTATGAAAAAAAAAAAAAAAAAAAAAAAAAAAAAAAAAAAAAAAAAACAAATTATGCAATTGCCTTACAATTTGGTTGGAAGTTGTCTCCACTAGTTTGTATTTACTTGTAAGTTGTAACTTCTGCTTATGAAATTTGTATCCAAAAAAGTCAACAGATGTGAACTATATTGAAATTGATAACCTTAATTTGTCTCCACTACTTTGTATGTTGAGAAATTTCCCACTATTTTTGGAACCTGTTCTAAGGCAACCACTCATCTGTTATAAGTGTACCTGTCAATGGAAAGAAATGTAAAGCTTCCAAGGAAAGACCCAAAGAAGATCATACGGTTAGTGCAAAATGGTGTGAGAGGACTCTATCTGTTATTAGTTTTGTGCGCGCGGTGCTGTTGACATTTTATACACTAATTACATTTGCATGCAAAAATGTCAACCCACATACTGAGTTTAATGCTGAAAGTAAACTTTACTATTTTTGAATTGCAAGTTCGCAGCAAAGCAAAGCAATGCTAGTGGGTGTATCTCGTTCGAAATCAATATAATTTAGTTTATTTGTATTCAATTTAATATAAATTGGATTGTGATTTTTTCAATCCGATCTTATCATATTAGATGTTTAAATTCAATCTGATTCGATCCAGTTGATATTGGATTGAATTGGATGATCGGTTTTGATAGTGAAAAAAGACAATAATGAAATATTAAACATTTATCCTTAGGTTTAATCTAATTAAACATATTAATAGATGTAAATGTAAAATATAAATGAAATACTATAAAAAAAATTTTTTTTTGATTATATAATATATTAAACATAACTTCATTAAATGACTTAAAATATTCATAACTTTTTCAACTACAAATATCTACAAGAGAAAAATAAGCATAAAACTAACCATACTTGATTGGATTTGATTGGATTCTCATAAGCAAATTCATTAGCCGATCCAATCATGTCAGTTTTGAAAATTATGAATCCAATCCAATCCATTAAATCATCGAAACCAGTTAAAATTGGATTGGATCTTGTACACCCTTAGGCCCTGTTTGGTTCATGAGAAAGGAGACTTGGGAATGGGAAATTAATTGTTTTCCCATGTTTGGTAAGTCTAGGTATGAGAAATCGTTGCCTGTCTCATGGGAAAGTAGGAGGGAAAGTGAAGTCATCCTCCCAACTTGGGTTTTGTTTTCCCCGTGAAAGTTTGGGAAAATGAGCTAACATTAAATACATAATTTTTATGACCACTTTATCTCTATTAACAATTTAGAATTACAATATATCATTAAATGCATTCTTTTTTTATTTGATTTAATATGGATATAATTGAAAATTTATACAAATTTTGTTTTTCATTCATACTCAAAACAAACATGGGAAAGGAAATAAATATTTCCCGGTTACTTTCCCAGTATTACCAAACATGGGAAATGAATCTCTCATTTCCATTTCTTAGGTATTACATGGGAAATGATTTCTCCTCAAATTCATTCCATGAACCAAACGGGCCTTAGTATTGAACATATGGAAGTCGCTGGATTATCCCATTGCCTGAACTCACCAACATGCCCATTTCATTTTTGTATCCCCAGCACCAGATGCCCCCTGAAAACACAGTTCATAGACATATATGCCCTTAAAGAGTTCGATGTACCTGTACATTATTGTACCAACCAAAGAAGAACCTTAGTTATTAAGGTTTTGGGTTACCGACACAAGTCTTTGGTTCACAACAAGAACAGGGGTCACTCGCCGAGTCTTTAAAATTGCAATCCCACACAACAGAGACCAACAAAGAAGCTGAAACTCAAGATGGGTATTGTGGGTCTTGTAGAAATTTCTCTTCAATGCTTTGATGTTCTTGCATGGTATGCTTTTTCTCCGAGGATGAAAAACTTTGGCACATTTAAAGAGTTGATCAAATTATCTCAGAATATGATAAGTTTTCATGTTATTTGTGATTTACTTGTAGGCCTCTGCTTGCTTTGGTGTATCCTCTGTAAGCCTCTCTTCTCTTCCACGCATTCATGTATCTAGTTCTTCTGATGAGATATACTCTGCGTACAACCTCTACTCTAGGATTTTTTGGGGTCAAAAATCAAAATGAGGCTTCATTAAAGCCCCTAGAAAGAAGGGGAAGGAAGTCACTAAAGGAAACCAAGTACTAGATCTAAAGAATGAGAAACTAGACACAAACTTAAGGAATTTTTTTATTGTGTTCTGCATAATTTTTGTCAAATACAAATGCACGGAAAATAAAATGGTTGTAATTTTTTATATTAGTTATTTTGAGAATGATGATGAGAGGATAATAATATTAATAAATAATGAAGTTATCTTTGATTTAAAGATTTTGAAATGGGGTTTTTCCATAGACTTAAGATTGTAATGTTCATGTTGATACAATGATGATGATGATGATGAGTATTCTTTCAAGATTGTTTTCCTTTTTGACAGATGTTGTTCCATTAGGGCGATTGAGACCAATTCCATCTCAGATACTCAGAAGTTGAATACTTATTGGGTTGTCTTCTCATTGATTTTGCTCCTTGAACAGGCTTTCTTGAAGCTCCTAGAATGGTAATTCTGTTGATTTATTTAACTGCATATTGCACTTCTTCTTTGCCAAGTAAATAAAAGAAATCAAAATTTCAACCATTGATATTGTAGGAAGGAAACCAAACTTCAGCGAATAGTTCCACAGACGATATGAAGAAACCATACTCTGTTTAGTTGTAGATGAACACATGCCTAAAGTATACCATAGGATTATTTAAAAATTCTCTATTTGCTTTTTTCTAATTCACTTCAAAAGTAGCAAACAGATGTTTGTTTGTTTGTTGAGAAAATCAAACAGATGTAATTTATAGTTAAGCTTCACAGACTATTTGTTTCACCAAATGTCACATATCACATCCATCTTTGTTCAGAAAAATATTTCTTTAAAGAAACTTCCTTTCACTTGTTTGTTCGGAACAATAGAAGTAAAAATCTACCTAGTTAAACATCAGTTAAGTCCTTTTGGATAAGGTGCTGAAATTTGTGTTTCCTATTTGCCAATTCTGGACATGCCAGGCTCCCGCTGTGGCATTACATTAGGATAATGGTTGCCTTCTGGTTGGTGATACCTCATTTTGATGGTGCCTTTTATGTCTATAAACATCTTATCTGTCCATGCCTTACCATGGACCCCCAAAGTGTTACCACCTGGTTCAACAAGTGGAGGAAGGAGTCGTTGTTCGTCAGCAAAGACGTTCATGCTGAGGTGGAGAGATATGTAAAGGAGAATGTACCTGAAGCTTTGGAAAGAACCATTGCTTGCAAGGTAAGTAGGTCAAATTTGGTGAAGAAAATGTTAAATCTCAGATACTATCTGATGATGTTAGTTGAACTAATCTTTCAGCCGTAAAGAGTGGAAACAATAGAGCAACAATTTTCTTTTTGAAGCTCATTTCCATTGCAGGCAGAGCCTAATCTCACTGGGACTGAAAACAGTAAATATACTTCTAGGGAGATAAAAGGAAAAACCACAGAGGTCGCAGAGAGTGTATCTGGTGATGGACACAAAAAAATTATTATTATGAATTTTAAGGAAAACGTGCAAGGCCAGCAACAGAACACAAATGAAGCTTTAAGGATGAATGGTTCTCGTCTGTGGTGCAATATTTGTAGTGTGCGCTGCCCTGGTGAGATTGACATGGCATCTCATCTCAGTGGAAGGCGGCACAAGGAAAATGTGCAAGAGCAACAACAGAACGCAAGTAAGGCTCCAATGAAGAATGATCCACCTCTGTGGTGCAGTATTTGTCGTGTGCGCTGCACTGGTGAGATTGACATGGCATCTCATCTCAGTGGAAGGAAGCACAAGGAAAATGTGCAAGAGCAACAACAGAACGCAAAAAAGGCTCCAAGGAAGAGTGAGCAACCTTTATGGTGCAAAGTTTGTAGTGTGGGCTGCTCTGGTCAGATTACCTTGGCATCTCATCTCAATGGAAACAAGCATAAGGAGAAAATGCAAGAACAGCAGAATACAAAGAAGAACGGGCCACCTCTATGGTGCAAAATTTGTAATGTGGGCTGCTCTGGTCAGATTACCTTGGCATCTCATCTCAATGGAAATAAGCATAAGGAGAAAGTGCAAGAACAGCAGAATACAAGGTCTATGGTGCAAAATTTGTAGTGTGGGCAGCTCTGGTCAGATTACCTTGGCACATTGCAATGGAAAGAAGCTTAACGAGAAAGTGCAAAGAACAACAGCAGATATAGATGTAGTGCAATGCAAGCAAGCACTATAAATATTATGTACTATATATGAATTAATTAATAAGCCAGAGATAAGGGTTCTTGTTATTCTTAGTAATTAACTTTCTTGTGGAAACAAGAAACCAAAAAGAATAGGATTAACTACATTTTACTCCATGTTTAAGGTCATTATCAAAATGGGCCCTGAGTTTTCAATTTCATTAATATTACGCACTCCATCAACTTCACCGTTCGGTTTTCTGTTAATTATTGTCAAATTACACACGCAAACAAAGGAGACAGATCCCAGGACATGAGGAAGCCTAATTGCACATGCGGCTATTATCTCCAAATGTGTCTTTCCACCAGTTTAGGAAAATAAACAAATATAGTCTACAATGTTTAATTAATCTGCAATAGAATCCCCAGAACCAGTCTCCCTCCCACCATATATTGTCTGGAAAATTATAATGTAGTGGCCTAGATTATCCTTTTACAGCGGGGGTGGGTGTGAAAAAAGTGGGTTAATTAGTAATTATATGCAACTTTTGACAGTAAGGACATGTCAATGGGGGAATATATATAAATTTCGAAAACAAAAAAGAAGAAGAGAAAAAGCTAGTGCAATGAAGTTGCAAGTAGCAGTGGAACAACTTCCTCTCTGGAAATGAGAAGCAAGAAGACAAAGAAAAGGACACTTAAAGTCAAGGCTCAATGATTTCTTCGTTCCACAACACCGTTTTGCTGTGGAGTAGCTTGCCGTCAATTCTCTTTTTATTCCATTGCTTTTGCAAAATTCTGAAAATTCATTTGATGTGAACTCTCCACCACGATCAGTTCTCAACGTCTTCAGATTGTATCCACATTGTTTCTCTCCATAGGCCTTAAATTGCTTGAAAAAAGAGAATGCTTCTGACTTTTGTTCTAGAAAATAAACCCACATCATCCTGCTATAGCCATCAACAAAGAGAAGAAAGTATTTCTTGCCATTAAAAGATGGTGTTCGAGTCAGTCCGCAAATATCTGCATGTGCATGTACCAACTCAAGAGGGGCTCTTGCTTTCCATGTTAATTGTGAAAATGGTAAGTGGTGGAATTTTCCAAAAATACAACCTTCACATATTTCTTTCTCAGACTGAACGGAAGGAATGCCAACCACCATATCTTTTTGGTGTAAGAGCTGTAGACTTCTTTGATTTAGATGTCCATACCTTATATGCCACAATAGTGATTCTTCTACATTTTCAGCTTCCAAAACATAGTTTTCTTTTGATGTCATGATCAACGGAAATACTTTGTTTGCCGTCATTTTTATCTTAGCCACTACAGTGCTATTTTTTTTATCAGAAATAACACAGTGATCATCATCAAATTTAACAGAGAAGCCTTTTTGTATGAGTTGTCCTGCACTTAATAAATTTTGTGCCAAGTTAAGAACATATAGCACATCATGGATTAGTTTTGGTGTACCTTCTCGAGTTTGAACAAAGATAATACCTTTGCCTTCCACGTTGTGAAGCTTTCCATCTCCGAGCTTGACTTGTGAATTCACATTTGTGGTTACTACATCCGCTATCCACATACCATATATCTTGTGGTTCTTGACAAGCGCTGAGACATGTATAAAATAGTTGCTATAGAGTCATTTTTTTCTGTGAAATTGGCTTCATTATTTTTCTGATATCTACAATCTCTTTGATAATGGTTGGGTATTCTGCATCGGGTACACCTATACCAACAATCTGCACTTTTGTGCCCAGTCTTTTTACAAACATGACATTCAGGGACAAGGTTACCATTTTGGTTGTTTTGATGGCTGCGTCCTTGCTAATTGTTGTTGTTATAGTTGCCTTTGTTGTAATTCTTCCACCAATGAGATTCTCCTTTACTTTTTCTGTTTTGAGACTTTTGAGATTCTCCTTTTTGTTTGTCTTCTTTCTCCTTCGAATCCAATTTGGATTGAAAAGCTTGCTCCAAGAATTGGTCTGTAGACCTATTAATCCTTTTTTCATGTGCTTCCAAAGAACCAATTAGTTCATGGAGCGAAAGTGCAACAAGATCTTTTGACTCCTCTATTGCTGCAACAACATGATCGAACTTCGACGGTAGACTGCGTAGAGTTTTCTCTACAATTTTCTTGTCTGGAATTGTATCTAATTTGGTTAACAATTCCAGAAACTTTTGTGAAGAAAACCTGAATGGATTCATTCTCCTTCATTAATAAATTATCAAACTCTCGCCACAAGGATTGGAGTTTGATGGAGATCACTTTATGTGAACCTTGGAACTCAATTTTGAGTATTTCCCAAGCGTTTTTTGATGTAGTTGTAGAAAGTAATCTTGGAAAGAGATTTTTGCTTACTCCCTGTTGAATTAAGAATAAAGCCTAGGCATTTATTTTCCTATTTTCTGTAAGTGCTTTGCTGCTATTCAGGTGTCGCTTTTCCCATCAAAGTTTTTTTCCGGTTCCTCGTAACCATCTTCTACAAGATCCCAAAGATCTTGAGAGATGAACAAGGTCTTCATTTGTAGGCTCCAATATTCATAATTCTCTCCATCGAAAATAGGCATTAAATTTTGAATATTTCCAATGGTTGAGGAATTTGAACTTGATGTCATGATTAACATGGCAGAGAGATCGATTGGCTCTGATATACCAAATTTGTTGGAGAAAGATGGATATGAGAGAATATAGAAGAGAGTTTTAAACAGAAAACTGAAGCTTTATTGATTTACAAATTGATTACAACACTATAGGCCATCTTATTGGCTATTTATAATAACATTCAGACCTTTTCATAACAGACATAAATCTTGGATTAGTTCCAAGAGTTGCAGACACAACTCTAGACTTCTAATGAGATACAACTCTTCCTAAACATAGCTCTTCTCAAGAGACACAACTCTACTTAACAACTGATATACATAATACCAACTAGAGGATTTGTACACATATGGAATGAAATTCATACTACCAAGGATACCATACAGATAAGTGATAAATCTGCATGAACTAACCTCTTTCCCAATTAATCTATATATCTTTTTACAGCTATATATAGTCATACGTTGTTTCAATGATACCATACCAAGTTGCGTGTGACTATTGTAGATCAAGGGCTGGAGCAGACGGTTATGAGTAATTGGATTTTGATTCATTGATTATAATCAATCAGTTGCAACCCCCGTTGCCGGGACGGGGGATATGAGTGCATGGGTTAGGGCCACCAGGTGGCGCTGGACCTCTAGCTTGTGGTCGATACACCACCTTCGAACCAAACGCGGTGGCAGCCGGCTTCGTGTCATCCAAAGGCCGAGCAGCTGCTACAGTAGGAGGTAATTTGGCTGTGAAAATGATCAGCAACATAAGCACCATTAATTTGATAGTGTACATTGTTTTCATGGTGATCAAAAGGGTGCGTAAAAGGCTTTTGTATAGGATATAGAAGATGAGGTGTGTGGCTTAAGCGATTTGTGATTATGGAACTGGATGGGGAAAATATATATATATATATATATATATATATATATGCAGGTGGTGGAAGTGAATATTTCGCAGCAATTTCAACCTTGAAGTTCCTAAGAAAGAAAGGAAGCTGACACAATGCATGACGCACCCCAAGTGCCTAGTCACAATTTAGTTTGAGACAATTTCATGAAAAAAAATAACTCAAATTATGCAATTGCCTTACAATTTGTTTGGAAGTTTTCTCCACTAGTTTGTATTTACTTGTAAGTTGTAATCTCTGCTTATGAAATTTGTACCCAAAAAAGTCAACACATGTGAACTGTATTGAAATTGATCACCTTAATTAATCATCTGATATACCAATTAGCTCTTGTTAAGCATCATCTTTGCTTGAAAATTTTCAAAACCCCATGGCAAACTTGTGTGTATATATATAGCATCTTAATTATATGTTGACAAATTTATCACTATTTTTGGCACCACTCATTAATCACAAGTGACCAAGGAAAGAAATTAATGCATGTAAAGCTTCCAAGGAAAGACCCCAAGAAGATCATACGGTTAGTGTGCAAAGTGGTGTGAGGGAGGGAGGGACTCTATCTGTTATTAGTTTTGTGTGTGCGGTTGACATTTTATACATTAATTTCATTCGCATGCAAAGATGTCAACCTACAAAGGCAAAGCAACTGAGTTTCATGCTAGAAGTAAACTTAAGTATTTGTGAATTGCAAGTTCCCAGCAAAGGCAAGGCAATGGTAGTGACCTTGGAAGCCGCGGCGGGCTTATCCCTGCCGAAAACTCACCCACGTATACAAGTGCTAGCTGCAAATTAGAATACACACGCTTTTATGCCCAAAATGAAGAAGACTTTTTGTGACCTCAAATATTATTTATGAATCAGACAAAGCAAACAGGAACCACATCAAGAGTTTTTGTATAATATGTTATGTTAGAATGGGCCTATTTTCAATTTACAAATCCCCCAATTCTCAGGCCAGGTGCTCATGCATGCGTTTAATTAAGCTTCTCCACTATAGGCAAAGGCAATTAACTAAGCAAGTACTTGCAAGTAGCAATATTAATATCATGCTGCTACCTTGGTGAGAAAGTCATGAAATATAAAAATTTCCATTGTGCCATTTGTGGAACTCATTATAGCTGTCATATAAGATCATCAATTTCTCCTTTAGGCTATATAGCTAGTGATCGATCATCATGATCAGTGGCGTGCATGCGCATGTCGAATTGAATTGCACTATGAGAGGAGAGGCATCACTTTCCAAGAGATATACCTGGAGCCAATAAAACCAAGTTTTCGTGATCAAGAATCAAATAAAGCAAGCTAGCTAGCTAGCTAGCTAGTTTCAGTACACCAAAACTTCAAATATAAAATTGGAGCGAGGAGTTTCTTTGTATCATGCTGCAGCCATCCAAGAAGACTCTGACTCCAATTAGGTTTTGGCCTCTGCATTTCTTTACGAATATGCTAGTTATGCTGTACGTGTGAATCATCATATTCCCTCCAAGTGGCAGTTTAAGATGGTTCTTGTGATTTTTTATTTAATGTTTTTGCAGTTTGTTCTTTCTTGCTTTAGACCAATGCTGTTAAAACTTTCCGGAAATTCATACAGAATGCTCCAAATCTGTGATTCACTTTAAAGGCAGCTATAATGATTATATCTGTTGGATTTTAACTACTTTTGCAAATTGTATCAGATCAATGAAAGTTGGATAAATTCTCTGACTGATTGGTGTTTACAGAAGAGCTGGACAATTAAAGGTTTTACATCTTCAGAATAATTAACCAATTTCATTTGGCTTTTCTCTGTTTTCTGCATGCCAATGGGTTCGAGAAGATAACTTATGGGAGTTGTCCACTTACACTCCTTTTCTTCTTTTCGCAAAAAAGGTTGTCTGCAAAACTTGTCCACACATTCTATTATATTTGAAACAAAAAGAACTGGTGAGTGAGAGGGAAGGTAGAAGAATATGCGCATGGACAAGAACAACAACTAGTGTGAGTAAAAAATGTTATCGACATTTAACTAGTGTTGTTAAAAGACACTATTGAAGATAAGAAACTTCTTTCTACTCACAAATGCTTATAGGCTAGCATGACAGATATTAATACTATAATGTAACTTTCAAGGATTTGGTCAAAAATCTATTCAAAAGAAAAAGCTCATGTTGGCCTGATCTAGTGACAGGTGCACTAAATTTAATTATTTATAATATATATATGTGACCAATTTTACGTGGTATACAGTGAGATATCTAAAAAATATTCCTCTTGTCATAATAAATAATACTTAATGAGCAAATAAAATGTAGATTGCGTGTTTGATTTGCATTGAAGTACCATGATATATACATGGTCAAGCTATGAAGGGGTTCACTAATCACTAAGTTAGGAACGGTGCTTTAATGATTGAAGATAATACCTACCAACTGTCACACATTCTATTATACAAAAACAATATTACGCGTCGTGCACAATGAGAAAGATGCTATACTTCTCCAGAGCTTTGACATATTTTTAATGATTATTGTAATATACTATATACATGTGTGTGTATATCACTTTGACGACCTATGATGTTATGTAAAAGACAATATCTGGAGATAATTAATATTTCTTAACTTGGAATGCAATAGACTTCTCTGCTCATCATCCAATTTCTGGTTCATTTGTACCATATTTATTCACCACCATGCTAAAGGGGTATAAATAGCATTATTGGTAATCAAAAAACCTAAACTAAAATATTATTCCTCTTCTGTCAATCCATTTGTATAGTTCTCTTAAGTTGTCAAAGTAAATGTGCACTGCCTGATTGCCATATACGTAACTTTAGTAGAGGAAATCGCTAGATTTTTAAATTTAGGCTTTTCGGGTAGCTCAGGTTATTGAGGAAGTTTGACTCATGTATGCCATATTGTTGTTGAGATGGCTCCGTTTATTGCACTTACTTATGTGTCCTTTTTACTCTTTATTTATATTAATCTAATAAAATTTTATCGCATTTTTTATATAATTTTTTTATTATTGAAATTATGATGTAGTCTATCATTTTAATAAAGCCTAGATTATGGATTATGTACTATATATGAATTAATTAATAAGCCAGATATTCTTAGTAAGTTTCTTGAAAAGTCTCCGAAGTCCTCCCACTGTCCAAAACAGTAGGAAAAGTAGAGTCAAGAGAAAGCTGGTCATCATAAAAGGAGCATCTGTTATTATTTTAAGAATTCATCATGAGTAAGCCAAAGAAAGAATATCCAAGAAAGCGTAGGTTATAACTATAGCTACCTATAGACTATAGGCTAGATGAAGATGACCCCATACGGCATATTCTATAAAGTAAACACCAGACAATATTTTAGGCGCAGTAACGGATCGCTTGATGTGAATTCTCAACTGTAGATCCTCCTGCTTTACACAATATTTCAGATAAATATATATGTTATTATTCTTAATTTATAGTGGATCCATATACAGATTCCAAGGCATACAGAACACAAGAGCATATGCGCGCATCTCAGTCTTATTTGATTATGAACACACACATCACCACGACTGAGTTATAATATAGATACACACATGATACATAGATAATTGCTACGAATAATATTAATTGTACCATCTAATCAGCCGACCATTTTGTCCTTCATAGATACTACAGAAAATAATCGGTTCAAATGAGATGGTACAAATAGCAATACTCCATCAGTCACGGCTGCTAGCTAGGGTTGCATCACAAGCCGTTTGCGAAGTTCATTTATGGATTTCACAATGCCCGCCATGGCTACCTCCCGGGGTATTTATGTAAGTGCAAGAAGAGGAAGAGGAAGGTGGAAGGGGCCCTCTTTCAAGCGGAGCTTTCGTCACACTCTTTCTCACTCCTGCAGTACTCTGCTCCTCCTTAAGGGGCCTATAAGCTAAGAGAGGCTTGGGGGAGGTCAGAATCAACAAAGCAAAGACAATCATCGTGCAAGAAACTTGGTAGGCACTTCCTTTGGTGATTGCCATTGTTGTATATGGAAATAGGGATTTGGGTGGCGAGAATCAGGTAGTAAGTGAATTATAAGGAGAGGTTCTTAAAGAAGCAAAGTTTGAAGCAAGAGTAGTATCGAAATCAGGGCTCAGATGCTGGCTATTTATAGGGTTTATTCAACTTTTGCTCTTTCGGTCCTCTTTCCAAGTTCAAAATTAAAAACTAAAACCACTCTGATCGAGCTACTTTCACTTTGGCATTAGGGTTTTGTTTTCCTCTTTTTTGGGGGTAAGAAACTTTACAGGACCTGGGCTTGATCTTGGGACAAATTAATTCCCCTTAAAATTCTATTGACATTATTATCATCGAGAGTAGCTATATAATTAATATATATACGACATAAAAAATACTAGTCATACTAGATTTGTATACCAACTTGTGTATCACCCCTCTAATAGATTGGTGAGGCGGTACAGAAGATGCCATCCAAATATGATAATCCTATCATAGCTCGTAGGACTAAAACGTAATGATTTGGATTGATACCCAAAGTAACAATGCAAATGAAATTAAAAATAAAATAATAAGAAAAAACAAAGGAGACAGGTTCCAGGACATGAGGAAGCCTAATCTGCGCGCATGCACCTTGCCATTAGATTATTACAATATTATCTCCAAATGTTTCTTCCCAGTTGAGGACTAGATGCTTTCACCCGGGGGGGTGTAAAAAAGTGGGTTAATTAGTATTATGCACCTTTTGACAGAAAGAACATGTAAAATGAATATAAAATTTCCAAAACAAAAAAGAAGAGGAGACAAGTCTTTGATGATTGAAAAGAGATCACTAGTGCAGTGAATTTGGGTCCTTACATTACATGTGTAAGCAACCATTCAATCTTTTCAGAGCACTCAACATGATCGAATTGAATTTTACCAAAATTACGTAATTTCAAAATAATTGTGTTTGGTATCTCCATTCTCTATTCATATAAAATTTTAGCAAAGAATGTCTAATCCGATTTGCAGATTAGTGATCTCAAATTCAAACCTCGCTTATAGTTCCGTAGTGTGTGTGAGAAAATCCTCACATTCCCCCTTTCCAATATTCGTAGCAGCAATGTTTAAAATTTGATCATAGCAATTTATTCATTAAAAAGGAATATAGATAACTCCTGGAAGGTAGCCAGCTGGGCCTTTATTTATTTAGGACTAGTTTGGGGCCCTAGCCAAGTATAGCTAGCCAACATGAGGAGGCGTAATGACGACGCCGTTTCGATTGATCCAGACCCGGACCCTGTCACATCTCAAGTCCTTGGTGGCTGGAGAGCCTTCCAGTATGACGATTGGTCGAACATTATGATTCTCTCGCTCTATCTTTGCCGCTGCATCTTCCCCACTATGCCCCACCACCTCCGGCCACGCCTGTTTACCTGTTGTTGTAAACATTAGTTATTAATTGTAACAAACAATTAATAAACCAATAATTAAGTATATTAATCCCACAATTAATCTTACCTGGACAATGTAACATTGTTCTAGCTAGCTTCCTTCTGATCACACACACACACACACTCACTCACTCTGATATTATATATTTATAGATTGAAGGAGTTGAACTTGAGCTTTGGTTCTACAAGTTTCAAGCATCCACTTATTTCACTTTGATGCTGACTATGCATAGCTTCGTGTCAATCGTGTTTGCTCCACACCCACCCACGTTGCATCCAATGCATGCTTATCCAAAATCAATTGCCACGGAATTTCATGTAATTCAGACAGAGCGGTTCCTTTTGGATCTTTCCCATGGAATTTCAACTTGATGCCAACGATGTCAAGATCCCTTTTCACTAGGTTAGATCTCGTTGGCCACAAATGAAGTATTATAGATTATTATTTGTACACAAGAGCTGCACAATAAATAGTTTTCCATCGGAATAGTTAAAGAAAAGTAAAAGAAAATTTTCAATTTCATCTGGCTTTTCCATGTTTTCTGCATACCATGGGTTCGAGAAGATTTTTATTCAACATATTTTTAGTTGCATTTTCATTTTCATGTTCTAAAATTTATTCACCATCTTCTGTTTTCTGCATGCATACCAATAGTCTTCTGCTGATGCATTAGCAACCTTGACTAACAAGACTGCGCGCAATAATGCAGAGCTTTCTTTTCTTCTTTTCCCAAAAAGATTTTGGCTGCAAACTTGTCCACACGTCCTATGATATATATATATTTGAAACAAAAACAACTGGTGAGTGAGCGGGAAGGTATAAGATTACGCGCATGGACGACAACAACTAGTGTCAGTAGAAAATGTTGCAATTCCTTCTTCTTTTTTCTTCTTTTCTTTTTAAAAGAAAAAGGTCAGTTGGTCTGCTCAAGTGACAGGTGCACTAAATATAATTGTTTATAATATATGTCACCAAATTTTCTGTGGTATACAGTGAGATATGTAAAAAATATTGAACTCATATTCCTCTTGTCTTGAGCACCACTGGGAATGGGAAAGGAAGTTGAAACTACATTGAGCTAAAACTAATCTGAAAACCAATGTATGTGAGATATATTTGTATTAGAGACGTGATCAGCAATGTAGCCAGTAAATGCAGTTCAAATAACAACACTCATATTGAATTTGCAAATAAAATGTAGATTGCGTGTTTGATTTGCACTGAAGTACCATGATATATTATATATAATTAAGCTGTAAGAGGTTCACTAATCACTATCTTATATATAATATATAGTAAGTAACAGTGCTTTAATGATTGAGGATAATACCTTCCAACTGTCACACATTCAATATTATGTTGTGCAGAATGAGAAAGATGCTAAACTTCTCCAGAGCTTTGACATATTAAAAGGTAGTCTATCATTTTAGTAAAGCCTAGATCACAGATTGTGTACTATATTATATATTAATTAATTAATAAGCCAGAGATTAGGGCTCTTCTTGTTATTCTTAGTAACTTTCTTGTGCAAATAAGGAACTAAAAGCCTCCCATCCCACTATCCAAAAGAATAGGAAACGTAGAGTAAAGAGAGAGCTCAGGATCATAAGGAGTATCTGTTATTATTCTAATTCATTCATTAATTATTAATTAGGATATAGATCAGTAAAAAGTGCTGCCAAATGATGATGATGGATTTTGTCGCTATAAGCTATAGGCTTTAGCTGTTGCCAATTTGTAATTTATGATGAAGACCCCATTTAGAATTCTATATATAAAGTATACACCGATTACAACATATGAAGAATCTTGATTTTTAGGAGCATTAACGCAGCTACAAAAGTTTGCACATGTGTGGAAAATTTTTGCATCTTAATAAAACAATTAAGTCCGGTCCTCCGATGTTTGTAATAATTGACATATTATATTGTTCTTAACTTAACTACCTACAAAGCCTAGTAGGTGTGAGGTTTTATCATAAAAGGTCTCGGTATTATTAGTAGTGAAACCACTTAATAAGTTGCAGTTTATTTAGTCAAATTTTCGATGTTGAACTTTATATTCATCAATATGACATTTTCTTGGTCCCTTCCTATTAATTATTTCCTTAATTCCCAAAGAACTGGTGGTTTAGCTTTCATCAATGAACATAAATATTTCTGACTATACCCTGCAAGTTCCAATATATGGGCAAAATATATTTATAGAATAGCTAGATATTGAACAGATGGAAGAGATGATCATAAACGGGTCAGTTGATGTGAATTCTCAACTGTAGATCCTCCTGCTTTACAAAATTGAGATGGTACAAATAGCAAAAATGATTTGGGTTGATACCCAAATAACAATGAAAATGAATTTAAAAATAAAATAATAAGAAGAAACAAAGGAGACAGTTTCCAGGACATGAGGAAGCCTAATCTGCGCGCATGCACCTTGCCATTAGATTATTACAATATTATCTCCAAATGTTTCTTCCCAGTTAAGGAAAATAAACAAATATAGTCTCCAATGTTTAATTAATCTGCAATAGAATCTCAATCTCCCACCGTATATTGTCTGGAAAACTACGTAGTGGCCTAGATGCTTTTACCAGCCGCCGGGAGAGGGTTCTTCTATGGGTATAAAATTTTAGCCAACGTCTAGTCCAATGAAAATGGATACTGATTTGCAAATTAAAAATCTTAAGTTCAAACTCTCATAACACCTTAACCGTGTGTATGAGAAAATTCCCTTCCACCTTTACAACATTCGTAAATTTTTGAACAGCAATATATAGAATTTGATCATACCAATTTATTCATTAAAAATGAACATAGGTAATTCCTGGAAAGTAACCAGCTGGCCCCATATTTATTTAGGACTAGTTTGGGGCCCTAGCTAAAGTAGCTAACCAACCTTAGGAGCCTTGGTGACTGTGCCGTTTCGATTGACCCAGACCCAGACCCTGTCACACCTCCGGTCCAAGGTGGTTGCAGAGCCTTCCGGTATGACGATTGCTCGAACATTGTGATTCTCTCGCTCTATCTTTGCCGCTGCATCTTCTCCACTTTGCCCCACCACCTCCGGCCACGACTTCTTACCTGCACCTGGACAAAGTGGCATTGTTCTAGCTAGCTTCCTCCTGACTACACAAACTGATATTCATATATTTTTGATGATATTTATAGATTGAAAGAGTTGAGTTTCAAGCATCTACTTATTTCACTTTGATGCTGACTACGTGTCAATCACTTGAATGCTGATTGTGCTGCTGCATGTTTGTGTTTGCTCCACATATTTTCACACATTGCACGCATGCATGCTCATCCAAAATCAAATGCCACGGAATTTCATCTAATTCAGACACAGCGGTTCCTTTTGGATTTTTTATTCCCCATCAGCCTTGGTTTTTTATCTTGCTTACGACTAGTTTGGATTGGTTTGGGTTATATGCTGAATTCATAATTCTCATTATTCAAGCCCAACCCAAACTTAGCAACCCGGCCGCACCTGAACTGGTCCATGGTGTAGTCCATTGAGGCCGCAGCCAGCCTACTTTGTTCATTTCTTTCTATCTTGATAGTTGGACCCAACGCAAAACTTAGACAAGTTACGATTGGCTTGGGCAGGGTGCTCAACTGCAAACCAGATTTTCAGTCTTTTCTTCTTCTTTTTTTCCCTGGGAAATATGCACATATATATATATATATAGTAAACCGTTGAATTTACATCCAACAGTGAGTGACCACAAATCTCTTGAACCCCTGTAATTCAAGAGATCAGGACTGTATATATATATATCAAATTGAACTTAGGATCAATGGAGTAAGTAGTGCGTGAATTAAGGATTGATTGATTCAAAGGTGTAACTCAGTGGAAAATGGTTTTAATTTGAAGATCAGTGATTTCAAGTTCGAATTCTCATGACACTTTAGAAAATGTGTGCAAGAAAATTCTCATCCCCTAATATCTAAACATGTCAATTCATCGGATTTTGATCCAAATCCAATCCGAATTCAGTATAATTAATAGGAGATGGATTATTTATCTTCTGGTTTCTCTCGTTCAATATTACAAGGAGAGAGAGAGAGAGAGAGAGAGAGAGAGAGAGAGAGAGAGAGAGCGCGCGAAGAGGGTCTGTGGGCAATTTTCTTCTGGATCGGAATCCCACACATTCAAAACAAAAAAGGACACATTCAAAACAAAAAAGGAAACTGCTAAAGCGATCAAAAGTAGCCTTTCGTGCGATAGTCGCAGGTGAAAAAATTAAGGGGTGGGCGTGCAAAAATAAGGAAAACAAGGAAAATATTTTGACCATTGATGTACGTATATATGAACACCTCATTTATTCACTATATATATTTTTACATATCTGCACCCATCCATAAAAATCAAAGTTATTTATTTTCGCATAGGGCTAATATAGTACATAACCCCATATGGAAACCAGACGACGATTGAAGAATTAGCTGCAATGGCCCTTACCGCCTCCGGGGATATTAGTGCATGGATTAGGGCCAGGAGGTGGGATCGGACCTGTAGATCTATGTTGAGGCATCGTAGGAGGGACGGGAGGGTTGGAATTGACTGCACTCAAAATCATGAAGAACAGAAACACCACTAGTTTAGTAGTGTTGTTGAAAAGGGTTTTCTTCCCAAAGTTGAACAATATTGTTTTCATACTGAAAGTTATGGAAGATATAGATGAGGAGTGTACGCGGGTTGATAGCTAGACGCAGGGGGTTAAGTAGGGTGAATACTAGTACTGGGTGGTGCACTGATGCTCAGGCTTTGGATGACAAACTTGTGCAAACGAACCAGGAATATATATAGAAGGGACTACGAACTGAGACTAAAAAAAAAAAAAAAAAAAAAAAAAAAAAAAAAAAAAAAAAAAAAATTATTATTGAAAATGAAGAAAAAAAAGAAAACTTAAAACAGTCAAAAATTGAAATAACCAATAATCCTTTGAAAAAGGCTTCAGAGAGAGCCGGCATCATTAAATGGGATTCCGATAAGTGGAAAAATATAAATTACTATAAACTATAAGATCACTGTCGGTTTAAATCTTTCATGCATATATGCGGGCATTCTCCATTTCTTTCCGGATCATTCTTTGTGATTTTCTGTAAGTAATAATCATCACCAATATCTATCTTTGATTCTCTTTTTTAATCATTTGACAACTCTTTTTTCAATTTCAAGTACCAACAATCGAAATTCCTAATTTCTAAATTCATAAATGTCACTTAAAATCAAATAGTCATATTTAAATCTCAAATAATTATATAATGAAAGATGATTTTATTTGTGATTTGCATGCTAATTGATGATGATTTTTACTTTTTTTAAAAATTTATTTATTTAAGTTTTGCTGTATGGCATTACGTAATGGTGTAAGTTTGTGTTAACTTATGTGAGGCCTCAGTTTAAATTTCGCACATGGCCCTCAAAATCTCAAGACTGACCATGTACACAAGGATTGGACTTAGTTCTCAACCTTCTACACAGCTCTACAAGGAAAGGAAGATGTCAGGTTGCGTCGGGTTTAGGTTTATTGTGCTACAGCTCTCTTCGAGGTTGCTCGAGCAGTGATCCTACTTCTTAGTTTGTTTGTCTAAAAATCTTCAAGAACTCTTTAGTAGTTTATTGTGTTTTGTTTTCTCTTTAGGATGTTTTATTTTTTATTTTAGCTTTTGACTTTCGATACGATATATCGTTTCTGTTGATGCAAGGCAAATATGTATTGCAGGTTTGAGTTGGTGAACTTATTTTAATTATTTTGTGGGTTGTGCGTGATTCTCTCCGGATCAATTCAACTTGTTGTGTTGGGTCAATGAAGAAGATTTACCCATATTCGGCATTATAGTTGCTTTCTACTTTTGTTTTTTCATCAATAATTACTATCGATTATTCTTTTCAAGGTCAATTAAGAAGAGAGGAAAAACAAATGTACATTTGCACTGCCTCACTAGACTCATCTAATACGTATTGCTTCAATTTATCTTAATCTACCACAACAAAATAATAGTATAAATTAAGGGGCTTATAACTCAAGAGTAAAGAACATTTATTTATCCCTACAACATAAGTTCTATGGTCAATTCTCCCCTTAGCCAATATATCGTTTGTATCCGTATACGAATACTAACTTTCTTTTTTTTAGCTTCAGATTCAACAACACAACTTCAGTTTTTCCTTTAACTGGCCTAATTAAATGGATCTATATAATGCCAACGAGGTCTAGCCCAGTGGAAAAAAGACTTTGACTTGCCGACCAATGGTCTCATATTTGAATCCCCATGACACCTTAGTAGCCTGTATGTAAAAAACCCTCATCCCTTGATAATTTAGACTATCGCTTGTTTTATAAATAAAAAATCCATTAATTTCTCAAACTATACATGCTACGTACATTTCACTTGTTATTTGTTTTTCTTGCCCATGTTATGGCCAAGGCTAAGATGAATTCATACACCTATCAGTGTTGTTTCCTCTATTTCTTAAGTTTCTTGTTTTTAAAACAAAAACAAAAATGCTTTTCAACTCCATAATATTCATTTCTTTGCAAACAGATGCCTTCCATATTGGGAATCCCATTACAATATCTGCACAAATTTCCTGCTGCCGCCCACATACAATACATCCAATAAAATTTCATTTAGCAACATGTCCCGTGCTGTGGATTGGATTCTGGAAATCAATTTAAAATTTAGAATGTAAAGCATAGAAGACTTCCGGACACACTCCATCTTTTTCTAAATCGTCTTCCACACTGAACACCTCCACTGTGAATAACAAAGTCAGCAAGCCAACTGTAAATAACGAAGCCTCCAACCTTTCGACTTTGACAATAGGAGTAAAGCAACAGAGTGGGCCCTACTTTTTGATCTTCAATAATAAACTGGCCTCCCTTACCAAAATGAGTCGCAGTTTGACTTTGTGTATAAATACCCATATATATATATATATATATATATATATATATATATAGTGCAGTGGTATTTTCCTGTCACTTAAAGGTGTGCATGGTATATATTATTATGTTATGTCGGAAATTATCGACCTACTCGATTCCCACTTGAGAGACAAGAGGATAATTAAGGAAAGAAAGAACTATGGCCAGAATGTAAACATATCCAAAAGGATTTTTTTTTTCTTTTTTTCTTTTTCGGTTTAAAGTTTGGACAGGGGAGGGCGAGGGGAGTTGCCACTTTCAAACTTGAGACCGCTTTTGTTCAAGGAATTCTGCCTTAATTGTTGTCGGAGAATAGAATCCAAGTTATATATATATATATCTCTCTCTCTCTCTCTCTCTCTCTCTCTCTCTCTCATGCATGGATCGATATTCTGCAAATCTTTAGTTTCTTTGTGTTGGTTGATCTACCTTCTTTTTTCACTGAATCTACAAATGAAAACAAAAAATAGTGATGGAAGGGACGAATTGCTAGGATTAAAAAAAATTCAGTGTAGGTAATATCGTGGCATTGTAAACCACGACCTGTATTTTGAATTTAAAACAAGGGTAAGTTATTATTAGTCAAACAAACATGCATTTATGTCCTTTCTCAAGTGATTCCCTGGCTATGAAATTCTCAGGTGCTCACTATCATATTCCCAGCATAAAGTTAACGAATGTGATAATGGTTTCTCATCTTCAGACCGAAAAAAAAGAGAGAGAAGATAATGGTTTCTCATGAGCTGGAGGAGACATGGTGGTAAGAACCTAGATCCTCTAGGTTTGAATTTCACTGGTTGTCACCAAAAAGGGTAGCAAATACTAAAGATTCTTCAAGCTGTTTGTTTTTTCCTTCTTCTATTTATGCTTTCTATAGGATGGGTATGGTTATATATATAGTCCAGGATCAGTTGATGAGCATAAACTCTTGCCTTTGCTTTCGTTGGTCAAATGAAAGATTCAAAGGCTTTATATGTAAATTAATCTGCATTAGAATCTCTACACAGACTCCAGTCTCCATCATCACAATACCAGTCTGGAAAACTAAGGTCCATTTTGAATGGAGTGATTTCAAATATAGGGACCTTTTAATTTATAAGGTTAAATTGTTTGTTTAGACTACTATAATTCATGTACATCAATTTTTTTGTTTTTAATACAAGCGATAGTCTAAATTACAAAGAGATGCGTTTCTCACACATGCTACCAAGGGTTCGAAGCTGAGATCACTGATTTACAAGTTAATGCCCTTTTCCTTTAGACTAAACCATAATTGGAATAATAAAATGAAAAAAAAAAAAAAAAAAAAAAAAAAAAAAAAAAAAATGAATTCAAATGACTCCTTGCATATAGTCGTTTCATATCCATTCTAAATGTAAATATAATGTTTTGCATATAGTCGTTTCATTAGTAATGATGCAACTTGGACACTAACAATATTTAAAAAGGGAATTAAATTTTCGAAAAGAAAAAAATCTTGATGAATGTAAAGAGATTATCACAATAGCAATGAGTTTGGATTTGGAGTCACAACCAATCCAAAGCAATTCTTTTATGGTAGCAGATAATTATTGATTAATTTAGGACAGTGGTGACGATCCAAATCCCATTGTCATCAATTCACACTCCCGAACGCGATCGATCGATCCCACAAGAACTCCATCATGCATGCATGGCTGCACGAAGATTTTGATTCTCTCGCATAATCTCTCTGGCTCCAACAAACCCCACACCTTTTTTTTCTTTTTTCAGTCAACACACACTTTTTCTTTTTTTCTCATCATCTTTCACTCCGCCAATCCAAATGGATGCCGCCACCCATCCCCCTCTAAAAAAACAACTAAACTTTTTTTCTTTTAAAATCAAATCCCAAAAATCCCCAAAAAAAAAAAAAAAAAAAAAAAAAAAAAAAAAAAAAAAAAAAGTTATAGTGATTAAGTGCTAATTAAGCCTTTGCTTGACAAAACTCTCAAAGACAACCGTTATAAGACTCACTTTGCATTGGATTAAATAATCGTAATTCACGTATGATATTTGCAACAACAAAAACATCACACAAATTGACAAATACTTTACCATTGAAAGCATCATGTCTGTTATTTATTTCATCTCCATTTGATGTTTATTATTTCATACATGCATATATATTACGCAATAATTCAATATTTATTTTTTCTATTTTACTCTTTTTATTTCTCTGTAAAACTTTTGTTGGCCATGGCCAGCAGGGGGCTTTCACCCTATATATAGAAAATTTTGGACAGCAATTAAATTTAAACATAGCAATTTATTTGTTATAACATAAGTTTCCTCTCTAAGAAGCAAGAACATATATAAATCCTGGAAGGTGGCCAGCTGGACCCTTTTTTATTTAGGACTAGTTTGGGGCCTTAGCTAAAGTAGCTAACCAACCTTAGGAGCCTTGGTGACTATGCCGTTTCGATTGACCCAGACCCAGATCATGTCACACCTCAGGTCCCTGGTGGTTGGAGAGCCTTCCAGTATGACGATTGCTAGAACATTATGATTCTCTCGCTCTATCTTTGCCGCTGCATCTTCTCCACTTTGCCCCACCACCTCCGGCCACGACTTTTTACCTGTTGTTGTAAACATTAATTAATTGTAACCAATAATTAAGTATGTTAATCCCACAATTAATCTTACTTGGACAATGTGACATTGTTGTAGCTAGCTTCCTCCTGATCACTTTGATGCTATGTATAGCTTCGTGTCAATCACTTATTTGACTTTGATACTGACCAGGTCGACCTCTTGAGATTGAGATTGGGCAATCCTTCCAAACCAACTCGGCAAGACCAAGTAGGTCGTCCTCCAGAGTGAGTGCAACTTGTTAGTAGAGATTGAGCTTGGACCCATTTGAGGTCTGGTCTGGCCTGAGATGCTTGGCCTCTTATGCCCAAATTCATACTTGGCCTTTATGGACTTCCAACAAATAAACGTGCACTTATAAAGACTTAAAGCTTTCTCTAGTTTATTCATATAAATAAAAAATTAAAATAAAAAATAAAAAAAGCTTTATCTATGTTTTCAATGTGGGACAATAGTTTTGAATTTCATTCAAATTTTCAACAAAACAATACTGGTATTGTATATGTCAAGTGACAAACGCTTCGAAATGGAAAATGGAAAATGGGAGACACCTATCCCTATTGAGAAGTTGACATATTCTTCTGTGGGGAATGCTAGTAATCTTCTTTCTAACCTTTTTCTTTGGACCTTCTCCCTTTTTGCTTGACATGTGTCATTCTCCTTACACTTAAAACAATGTCATTAATATATTATGCAAGTTAACTTTTGCTTTCTAAGTTTACTCTTATTAAATGTATTCAATTTATCCAAAAAAAATTCGCAACTTTCTTACAATTTTTTTTTATTTTTAGGTTTAATGTACATATCTATGCAGAAGTGCTCGCGTTTTTTATTGGTCGGACGGACGACTTCTCGACTTTCGAGTCATAGTGAAACTTTACCTTTTCAGGGTTTGATCATCAACTTATGGAACAAAAGTTCCTCGCTGTACGGACAGGTCTTGCTTCTTCACAAGGTCTTGTCCAAGTCTTTCAAGTTCCGATTTCAAAGCTGAGGACGACGACAAGGAAAACGATACGAAGAAGCTGAAGCTGAAGATGGGCTTCGTGGGTCTTGTTGAATTTGCCCTTCAATGCTTGGATGTTCTTGCATGGTATGCTTTGCTCTAAGAGAAACAGTTGATCAAATTTTTCTCAGAATATGATATAGTGAGCTTTTCATCATTTCCATGTTGTTTGTGATTTTTTCTCTTTTCTCTTGTCTTTTTATTTTTTTGCAGGCCTCTGCTTGCTCTGCTGTATCCTCTGTAAGCCTCTCTGCCCCCACATACATTTTTATTTTGAAGAAACAACGTTTTTCTTTACCAAAATGGGTGTAATTTTTCGATATTACATTTGATGAGGTCATGATGATGATTACTTGATAATAATACTGCAATATCAATGTTGATACAGTGATGAAGATCTCCTTGATGTTTGTATTTTCTTTTGACAGATGTTGTTCCATTAGGGCGATTGAGGCCAATTCTATTTCAGATTCTCAGAGGTTGAATGCTTATTGGGTTGTCTTCTCATTGCTTTTGCTCTTTGAACATGCATTTATGAAGTTCCTTGAATGGTAATTCTGCTGTTTATTTTATTGCATATTTTAGGCTAGAAAAGCTTTAACAGAACTTTCAGGCTAGTTATCATGAAATCCTCTCTGAAATGTGAATTTAATGTTGCGAGTTTCCCCCAAGTTTGGCTCAATTAATTTGATCGTCCATAATTTTTACTTCTTAATACATACATTGGAAATAAAATTGAAAAAGGAACGAGATTTTGGAACATTTCCTAGCCTTCACTAGAATAATAAAAGAGAGCAGAAATTTTCACAGTCTGGTTGTTCTCAAACTCAATTTCTGAAATCTTCTTCTGACTGCTATGAAAAATTATCAGAAGTGAATTTGTGTGCATAATCCATTCATTGTGGTATTATTGAGACGAAACAGAGAGTTTCGTAAATAATTTTGAAGTTACTTTTCAAGATGGTTGTGATATATTAAGCATGTTTTCATATATGTGGTAGCTTTCTGGTAATACATTCACAATCATGGAGTAGCAGTTAGTTTAACAGATGTGTGAACACAATTGTAATACATTCATGTTTTCATATTTGACATTCTGCTCATTGCTTTTTTTTTCTTTTTCTAATTCAATTCAAACATGTGAAATGGATGTAATTCATCATCTTCAGATATTTGTCCCTGCAATATCACATCCATGTGCATACTTCCATAAAATCTGCCGAGTTAGGTCTCGGTCAGGTCCTTTTGGATATAGTGCTGCTGACATTTGTTACACAACTTTTCATTGTTCATGATCATCTAGTTATGTTTCCTATTTTTTCCAAATCTGTACCTGTCAGGCTCCCCCTGTGGCCGCACATTAGGCTAATGATTGTCTTCTGGTTGCTGATACCTCAATATGGTGGTGCATTTTATGTCTATAACCACCTTATCCGTCCATGCCTCTCCATGGACCTACAAATTGTTATCAACTGTTTCAACAAGCCGAAAAAATCCTCGTTTGACAGAGACAATTTTCTTGCCGAGGTGGAGAGATATGTAAAGGAGAACGGACCTGAAGCTCTGGAAAATATTGTTGCTTCCACAGTAAGTAGGTCGAATTCTATGAAGAAAATATTTTGTTATATATGAATAAATTATTTCCTAGAATATGCACTTGTATAGATGCTTTGAACGGTGGAAAACCACATTCAGTTTTGGTTGTGAAGACCCTGCTCCATGGAATCCTTGTATAGATGCTTTGACTAATAATACATTTTTGCTTCAGTCTGAGAAAACGAAGTCAAGTCCCGATGCGAAAGAGTTCAAGGCAGTTTCTCTGGAGAATAAAGAGGTACAGTATCCCTGATGCAACTCGTACAAAATTCATAGACTTTTCTATACACTCCAGTGGTTTTTCGTTAATGTCCTTTGTCAGATGAATAATGTTTAATAAGAAATTCAATTTGATTTTGAATTATGCTTGATTTAAAGCGAAAATATTGTGAATTTAAGTTTGCAATAGCCTAATCTATTAATTTGATGACCTAATGATGCAGAAGACACCTTTTGAAGGTGCTTATGGACTTAAGCCTCAAAATGTTCTTGACTTAGTTCCACTTCCAGAAGAGATGAAGATGAGTGATGATGGAGAGGGTTTGGCGGACCAAGTGAAAAGAGTGCATGAAGAAGTGAGGGCAGTTATAAAGGGTAGTAATGAATCGTCTGCAGTCGCTGCCAATCAACACCGAAAAGTCAAAGATTTTGAAGAAGGTGACATGGTTTGGGTGCATTTGAAGAAGGAAAGATTTCCAAAAGGCACATACCATAAATTGAAGTCCAAGATGTTTGGGCCATATAAGGTGTTGAAGAAAATGAGCTCAATCGCTTACATGATAGAGCTGCCACCGGATCTCCAGATTAGCCCATATTTCAATGTCTCTGATTTGTATTTGTTTGAGGGATTTGATGAAGAAACAATTTCAAAGGAGGCACAACCATGTATTGTTGAGGATGTGTTGGATGTCAAAGAGGTGACGTCAAAGAAGGGTAACCAATATAGGCGGTTCTTAGTGAAATGGTTGGGTAAGAATGCTACTGAGAATACTTGGATTGCTGAATATGATTTAAAGAGGACTGTTGCAGAGAGATATGCTGAAGTTGTTAAAGCTTTCTCGCCAGAGTCGACTTCTTCCCAACCTGGCGGAGTTGATGCAGGAGCATCTGTTCATTAGCCAAGTCATTTCAACACCGCAGAAAACCCACAACCACAAAAGCTTTGGAAAATAAAAATGCCTAGTGAATTTTAAAGCAATCTCAACCTACATGGCAGAGCTTGATGTGATAAAAGTATTTTCTTTTATTTGGCCAAGCCTTCAAGGAAGAAGACTATGTCGTTTGTTGATGTACCATTGCTTATGCATAACTGAAAGTGATGCCCCAATTCCTCAATGTTAGAAGCTCTACCAAATACGCCGATGATTAGACAACCGTTAGAAGCTCTACCAAAAGTCAGACTATATTCAATGAGTATAGCCGTTTGTCTCTAACTTTTTGTTTTCTTTTTCTGGAACAACTAATGATAAGATAATTCCCAGGAAATTTTATTGATGAGAGGCCTAGCTATCCAACGCGGGGAACCGCGGTGACGACGCCGTTTTCATCAACCCAGACCCGGACCCGGTTGCACCTTAACTCTTGGGTGATTATAGTTCCTTCCGGAATGACAATTGTATGAACATCAGGCTTCTCTTGCTCTATCTTTGCCGCTGCAACTTCCCCATCTTCTCCGACCAGCTCTGGCCATGAACTCTTACCTATATCGAAATCAAATCAAAAACATTTGTTTCATTTCCATAATTAATTATAATTATTATTATTCACTAATAATCTACCTAAATTTATTGTATTATTACCTGGACAATATGCAGATGCCATTCTTCTTTATCCCTCCCTCACACTCTCATCAGTCTCAGTCTGATACATAAATATGTAATATATATTTGCGATGGTATTTATTTTATAGAAATTGAAGGAGGTTTCATTAGCAGACACGTCACACGTTACTACATGTGACATGTCAATGCCTCCGCGAGCTCCATGTCGATTTGTCCTTCATGCGCACACAGAGTTTTGGACCGACCTCGTATTTCATTGATTAGAGCACTTCCATCCTCCCTTTTGCCATAGTTTTGGCCTAGCTCCAAACACAATCCCCACAAAGTGAAAGTTCCCATGACAAGAAGTGAGCTCACAAAATTGGTTAAGACTTGTTTGGGCTGCTGCTTGGACAAGTTGACGTTAGCAGACAATTTAAATATCACAAATATATTTTTTTTAAATACAAAAAATTCAGAATTTTTTTTTCCTATAAATACTTAGTCATATTCTTCACTTCTCACAACAAAATCCATACAAATTCCTCTATTCATATCTCATATAAAATAGTAGTTATCTTTGGATTGCCATGACAGTCGCTATTGACATGAACAATATTTGTCCTTGTTTTTTGCCATGGCACAATGGGGTGGAAGTGCTCTTAATTATGTGTCTCTTTTTTTTTAATTAATTGAACATAGTTGTTTAATTATCTTTTATATTAAGGTATGAAAATTTTTTAGCAATCTCCTTTTGAATTATACCCCTTATCATTCTATTTTTGTGCTATGTACTTTTAATTTGGTTGTGAACCCCTCTAATCTTTCAAAATGTGTTGATATACTTTTTCAGTCAAGTTTATTACATTTTTGTTAGTTTCCGTCACATAATTTTATGGACAATGCTTGGCTCCTAATATATCAAGAGTCATTCCTCCTCAACATATGATGTGGCCTTAAAAAACTATACATTTTTTTTTTTTTTTTTTTTTTTTTTTTTTTTTGTTGTTTTTTTTACTCTCCCTCTCTCTCCTCCCCTTGCTCTCTCTTCTCTCATCTTGTCGTCTCTGTCTCTTCCCCTGCAACTCTTTAGAAGAAATTTTCAGCCCATTTCTCTTCTCGATTGCTGCCATCTTCCATCATTGGCATCAACATAGACCACCATCTTTCATCTCCGCATCACCTCCCCCTCCCCCTCCCCCATTCCCCATTCTCTCTCCAATCACCCCTCCTCCATCATCACCCAATCACTCCTCCTCCATCATCATCACCCAAACACTATTGATTTCTCTCCTTTTTAATTTTTAAATTTAAATTTTATTGAGTTATTTTTTGAGGAGTTCTAGAATTTTGGGAATGGTGGAAGAACATGGTACAACTTGGGGGTGAAAAAATTTCTCCGGCGTCACTCTCTTTCCTCCAGATTTGAGTTGCAGAGAAAGAGATGGGGAGACAGAGAAGAGAGAGCACGGGAGGAGAGGAGAGGCGAGTAGGTGAGAAGAGAGAGAGAGAGTTGGTGAAAGAAAATAACATGTGTCATTTTATAAGAGGCCACATTTTGTGTTGAGAAGGAATGACTCTTAATATATCAGGAGCCAAGCATTGTCCTAATTTTATGAGCATAAATGTCAATTCACTCAACATGACTTCCAATTGACTATTCGATTGGGGTTAAAGGTGAAAACGGACAAAAAGTGAGTGAAAATGAGGTTTGAAAGAAAGAATGGATCAAGTCAATTAGGATAATTTGAGTGGGTCACGTCATATATTAACGTGAATGAACAGAAACTCAACTCAAGAAACAAAGTACACAAAAACTCAACTCAAGAAATAATTAAGAATCTACCAGCATGCTTACGATCGAAAATCTTCAACTTTAATTACGCACGTACTAATTGTTAAGCCTATATCGTGTACACACTGAAACTCTGTGAACATAACATACATATTCTTCATCAAGCCCTCTCCACAATGGTGACGGGAAAGCCACCTTTCATTTTTCCGGTGAGGTAGGCCACAAACTCGGGCTGGGCTCCACCCTCCCTCTCCGCCGGGACCACCTTAAACCTCTTCAAAACCGCACTCACCACCCTCTTCATCTGCAGAAACGCCATCTCCTTCCCCAAGCAGATCCTGGGCCCCGCCTGAAACACAGGGTAGCTGAACGAGTCCCTCCCGACAAACTTCCACTTGTGGGCCCCATTCTCCTCTCTCTCCAGCCACCTCTCGGGCCTGTACTCTGCCCAGTCCTCCCCCCAAATCTCCTCCATCCGCCCCATCGCGTACACGTGGTAGGTCACCGTCATTCCCTTCTTCACCTTCGTCCCGTCCGGCAAGACGTCGTCCTTCATCGCCTCTTTGCTGTCCGCGGCAACCGGCGGGTACAGCCTCATGCTCTCGCACAGCGCCGCGTGAGTGTACACCATCTCCTTCACCTCATCGTAACCCCCTGCGGCCGACTCCGGCGACGCCGTTCCGCTGATCTCTTTCAGAATCTCGTCTTCCACATGTTGGTTCTGCGAGAGTAGCCAGAAGAACCATGTGAGAGCTGCCGACGTGGTGTCTCGGCCGGCGAGGGTGAAGCTGATGACGATGTCGGTGACGAACTTTTCATCCGAGTGGCCTGAGCCCAAGAACCGGGAGAGGAGATCCACGGACTCTAGAGCCTTCGTCTCGTTCAGCTCTCGCTTCTTTTCCCTGACAATGGTGTTCGCAAACTCGCGAACTTCGGAGACCGCAGCTCGGAGGTGCTTCTCGGAGCCAATTCCGAGAACCCTTTTGAGCTTCCACACTGGGGATAACGATCTGAACCTGTCGCTGCTGATTTGAATTGCGTCGTCGAAAGCTACGGCGAATTTGGCTTGGGGCAGAGAGGGTAGCAGGTAAGCCGGATCGTACCCAAATGCGATTCTGCCAATGTTATCGAAGGCGAAGCGTTGTAGAATGTCTTGGAAGTCGAGAATTGAATTGTTGGTGGCGGAGGAAGAGAGAATGGGAATGAGGCGGTCGGAGAGCTCGGTGTCCACGACCTGTTCGACGAATTTACGCAGAGACTTGGTGTTGAATTCGTGGCTGGAGACTTGGCGCTGGAACTTCCAGTTGTCGCCGTCGGCGTTGAAGATGCCGTCACCGAGGAGGTCGGTGAGGGTGGTGCGGAAGGTGTTGCCTTTTTCGTAGATGGGGAACTGGGTCTTAAGGATGTGCTGGACGACAGTGGGGTTGGCCGTGACGACGAAGTGCTTGCCCAGAGAGTGGTGGAGGGTGAAGGTGTTTGATGGCGAGCTTCGGAGGAGGTCTGTGAACCATGGGAGCCTGCGTTCATGGTTTTTGTAGAGGGTTATGAAAGAGCCTATTATTGGGTATGATTTGGGGAGCTTGGTGTTGTTGCTGGTTTTGGGGTTTGGTTGTGATGAAGCCTTGAAGACGAAGAAGAAAAGTAAGGGAAGGAGGACCAGGGAGGCCAAGGTTAAGAGCTGAAGAAACATGGCTGATGATGGCAGAAAAATGGAAGTATGGATTTGTACCGCTTGGTAGTGCTTCTGGTTTGTGATTTCTGGATGAATAGGTAGCAAGGTTTGGTTTGTATTTGTAGTGTCACTTTGGTTTGGTTTGATTGGGAGGAAAGAAACCAAAGGAGGGATCACCACTCAGGACGAAAATTTTAGACTTTTCAATCAAACAATTACTGGGAAAGTACAAAGGCTACTTTTTCATGTTTATTTTATTTTTTTTATTTATTTAAAGGGTAACTCTCCTTTTGATGCTTGACTAGACTCAGCTTCTTACAATAAAAATAGTTAGATGTGAGTTACGTAAGCAAAGTCGTCATAGTGGTTGGGAGGTTTATGTAGCTAGCAGCAGCAGGCACATGTGCGGTGAACCAAAAAACCAGTATTGTCTTGGGACCTTACCTTCCCTTGGCCTCTTGATAATATTATGGATTGGTGACAATAATATGACAATTTGAGTTTCTCTTCTTTTTCTGTGATCCTCTCTATCTGTATACTATTTGTTTGTGTTTGCTTTAAGAAAGTAGAAGCAACCCTGCTACCGCGAAACAAAATTGTTAAAAAGCGTTTTCAGATAGTAAAAAATGATTCAATCATTAGAAGTTCTTATGGGTTATAAACGCATTTGGAACGCTTCTTAACAAAGGCACTTTGATGAAGCAATTGGGTTTTTATGAAAAATTTCAATGTATTTCTGATAGAAGCAGTAAAAACGGTTATAAACATAAACGCTTTCTAGACAAGTATTTAAAAATGGGTTCTAACATGATTCTTGTGTTTGTATTCATTATTTTTTATTTTTGTACGTTTTTCTTTCCGCTACGTAAGCAAAACCGTCACAAAGGCGATGAGGGTCGTTATCGGCGTCATGTTCCAAAAGTCAAAGAATACAATTCAATACATTATTGCCAAGGTCATCGAGTTATTATATGTAACCACCAAGCAATTTACTTAGCAAAGGAACTTCTTACATTGTGCGCTTGTCATGTGATTAGTTATTGTGCGATGAATGTTATTTATACATGTTACATGTTAGAACTTTTCGTTCCTATGTTGGGTTTTTCATGATTGTAGGTGACCGAAGGAATGCAATTGATTTCTTCATTTTTGCACTCAGATGATCGCTGATTGAAACTCGAAGCATTGGTTTTGATTTCTGCCTTTGTATTTCAAATAAATCTGAGAAAAAAAAAATGCATGAATGGTAAAGTAAATGCAGGAAAACATATTTTGAAAGAACGTAGGAAAATTATGCAGAAAGCAAAAGCACATTTAAGTCTTTTGATAACATACTTACCATGTGATGGTGCATCTGAATTTAGGAAACAGACTGACAACTGAAAGCGGTCCCAATTTTTCGCAATTCTCGCAGCTGATGAGCTATGTCTTGAACAAACCGTAGGCCTTCATTTCCATTTTGAAGAGAGTAAAGCATGTGCTCAATAAAATCCTGATCAGTCTCGAGTGCCTCCAACCTATCATTAAGGTCTGAGATTTCATTTTCCAGAACAACCAACTCGGTTTCTCTATGATCCATGAAATCCTTTTGCCCATGGAAATCAGAATCATTTTTTTCTTCATGGTCTAAACTTTCAGAATGAGCTGGCCCCTCTTGAGCAGCAGAGCTTCCGTTAGATACATGTAAATCTTTTTGTCCATGCACAACATTCTCTTCAACCTGACCATTTAATAGAACCCTCTCTTTTCTAGGAGTCTCTTCTTGAATTGGTTCATCATCCATATACTTTCTAGCCTGCCCACCATTAGGCATGTTGGAGGGAACCCCATTACAGGAAATTTCAGAAAGCTTCCTCTCCAAGCTCTTCAAACAATTTGAAATGTATAATTTTTCATCCTCAAACTCTAAAAGCGTAGTTTCAGAAAAAAGACGATCATTACTAGCTTCAGGTACCTCAGTAGCCATTGAGTTACAAGCAACTTTGACATCCTTTTCTATGCCGGGCACAACAGTACTTGAGTTGCAATTAACCATATTGGCAAGTTAATACCCTTTTCCTTTAGACTAAACCATATTTGCATAATGAATTAAAAAAAACAAATGAATTTCAAATGACTTCTTACATATAGTCGTTTCATATCCATTCTAAATGTAAATATAATGTTTTGCATATAGTCCTTTCATTAGTAATTATGCAACTTGGACACCAACAATATTTAAGGAATGAAATTTTCGAAAAGAAAAGTAGAAGAAAAGAATCTTGATGAATGTAAAGAGATGATCACAATAGCAATGAGTTTGGATTTGGAGTCACATCCAATCCAAAGCAAATCTTTTATGGTAGCAGTTAATTATTGATTAATTTAGGACAGTGGTGACGATCCAAATCCCATTGTCATCAATTCACACTCCCGAACGCGATCGATCCCACAAGAACTCCATCATGCATGCATGGCTGCACGAAGATTTTGATTCTCTCGCACAATCTCTCTGGCTCCAACAACCAGAAGAGATGAAGATGAGTGATGATGGAGAGGGTTTGGCGGACCAAGTGAAAAGAGTGCATGAAGAAGTGAGGGCAGTTATAAAGGGTAGTAATGAATCGTCTGCAGTCGCTGCCAATCAACACCGAAAAGTCAAAGATATTGAAGAAGGTGACATTGTTTTGGTGCATTTGAAGAAGGAAAGATTTCCAAAAGGCACATACCATAAATTGAAGTCCAAGATGTTTGGGCCATATAAGGTGTTGAAGAAAATGAGCTCAATCGCTTACATGATAGAGCTGCCACCGGATCTCCAGATTAGCCCATATTTCAATGTCTCTGATTTGTATTTGTTTGAGGGATTTGATGAAGAAACAATTTCAAAGGAGGCACAAATCCAGCAACTTCCAAAGGCACAACCAGATATTGTTGAGGATGTGTTGGATGTCAAAGAGGTGACGTCAAGGAGGGGTAACCAATATAGGCGGTTCTTAGTGAAATGGTTGGGTAAGAATGCTACTGAGAATACTTGGATTGCTGAATGTGATTTAAAGAGGATTGTTCCAGAGAGATATGCTGAAGTTGTTAAAGCTTTCTCACCAGAGTCGACTTCTTCCCCACCTGGCGGAGTTGATGCAGGAGCATCTGTTTGTTAGCCAAGTCACTTCAACACACGCAGAAAACCCACAACCACACAAGCTTCGGAAAATAAAAATGCCTAGTGAATTTTAAAGCAATCTCAAACTACATGGCAGAGCTTGATGAGATATAAAATAGAGAAGATCCAAACTACATGAGACCCATGGATATGATAAAGTATTTTCTTTTGTTAGGCCAAGCCTTCAAGGAAGAAGACTATGTCGTTTGTTGATGCAAAATCAAATTTTAATGATGTTGGCGTTGTTAAAAGAAAAGTCAGACCATTGCTTATGCATAACTGAAAGTGATGCCCCAATTCCTCAATGTTAGAAGCTACCAAATATGCTGAAGCAAATGAATCCATCTTTGGAAGTTCGTACACATCTCGAAATCAACTACAGAGGATATTCTTTTTGGTAATTAAGTAATGTCTTAGATTTTTTTAACTGCTTCAGTTAGTAATTATGTTTTAATTATTATTTCTTTAGTAAATAATTAATAATTAAATATTTTACTAATTTCATAAATTACTTAATAACTAGTAATTAATTATTTTAAATTATTCTGTGGATTTTGTTTTTTATTTTTAATTTTAAATATTTGAATATATTTAAAGAGTATAGCCGTCCGGTTATACTTTGAAAATATTCGCATATATTCAAAAGGGTATAGCCGCACGGCTATACTATTTAAATATGAGTCTGTCCGTACGGCTGTACTCTTAAAATATTCGGGTATATTCAATATGTATAGCTGGCTATAGTTTATTAAAATAAACCTTATAGCCTCTCGGTTGTACTCTTAAAATATTCGAATATATTAACTAAGTATAGCCGCGCCGCTAAACTTTTAAAATATTCGAATACATTCCCAAAGTATAGTATAGCCGCCCGGCTATAATGTTAAAATATTAAATATATTCACAACAGTATAGCCGTTCAGCTATACGGTTAAACTATTATATATTCAAATAGTATAGCCGGGCGGCAATACTAGTAAAATATTCGAATATATTTGATGGGTATAGTCGTTTGTCTGTAACTTATTTATTTATTTATTTTCTGGAACAGCTAATGATTAGATAATTCCCCAGAAATTTTATTGATGAGAGGAATTTGATATCATCACAATTTACATCATATGGTAGATAATTTCTATCGACAAACAAGCCCTTTTAGTAAGTAGGCCTAGCTAGCCAACGTGGGGAACCGCGGTGATGACGCCATTTTCATCAACCCAGACCCGAACCCGGTTGCACCTCAACTCTTGTGTGATTATAGTTCCTTCGGGGTTGACGATTGCATGAACATCAGGCTTCTCTTGCTTTATCTTTGCCGTTGCAACTTCCCCATCTTCTCCAACCAGCTCTAGCCATGAACTCTTACTTATATCGAAATCAAAACAAAAACATTTATTTCATTTTCATAATTAATTATAATTATAATTATTGACTAATAATCTACCTAAATTTATTGTATTATTACCTGGACAATATGCATATGCCATTCTTCTTTCTCCCTCACTCGCACTCTTATCAATCTCAGTAGTCTCAGTCTGATACATAAATATGTAATATATATTTGCGATGGTATATATTTTATAGAAATTGAAGGAGGTTTTCATTAGCAGACATGTCACACGTGACTACATGTGACATGTCAATGCCTCCGTGAGCTCCATGTCCATTTGCCCTTAGTGTTAGACCGACCTCGTATTTCATTGATTAGAGCACTTCCACCCTCTCTTTTGCCATCGTTCCAAAAACAATTCCCACTAAGTATAAGTTGCAATGACAAGAAGTGAGCCTATAAAATTGGGCAAGATTGTCTAGGCTGCTGCTTTGACAAGTTGACGGCATGTTGTTGTTTGGGAAAGCTGACGTCAGCGGCCAATTTAAATACCAAAAAGATTTTTAAAAAATACAAAAAAATTCAGAATTTTTTTTTCTTTCTATAAATACCTAGCCATATTATTTACTTCCTACACCAAAATCCATACAAATTCCTTTCCTCATATCTCATGTAAATAGTGGTTGTCCTTAGGTTGCCATGGCACAATAGAGTGGAAGTGCTCTTACTTATGTTCTTTTATTTTTATTTTAATTTAATTGAACAAAGTTGTTTAATTATCTTTTATATTAATGTATGAGAAAATTTTAGCAATCTCCTTTTGAATTATACCCCTTATCATTCTATTTTTGTGCTATGTTTTAATTTGGTTTTGAACCCTTCTAATGTTTCAAAATGTGTTAATATACTTTTTCAGTCAAGCGTATTACATTTTTGTTAGTTTCCACTCCTGATATATCAGGAGTCATTCCTCCTCAACACATGATGCAACATCAACGTCAACCACCATCTTCCATCTCCGCGTCACCTCACCCTCCCCCATTCCCCATTCTCTCTCCAATCACCCCTCCTCCATCATCATCATCACCCAATCACTCCTCCTCCATCATCATCACTCAAACACTACGTATTGATTTCTCTCCTTTTTAATTTTAATTTTATTGAGTTAATTTTTGGGGAGTTCTAGAATTTTGGAAATGGTGGAAGAACATGGTTTTGGGGTGAACATAATAATAATAACATGTGTCATTTTGTAAGAGGCCAGATCTTGTTTTGAGAAGGAATGGCTCTTGATATATCAAGAGCCAAACATTATCCTAATTTTATGAGCATAAATGTCAATTCACTCAACATGACTTCCAATTGACTATTCAATTAGGGGTAAAGGTGAAAACGGAGAAAAAGCGAGTGAAAATGAAGTGTGAAAGGAAGAATGGATCAAGTCAATTTGAACAGAAATGCCCTTAAATTTGACGAAGCAATTAATATAGTTGACAAAAAGAGGAACATTGACATGTTTTGAAAGATGATGAACGTTTAGAACAAGTTAAGAAAGACCAAGTGGAACAAAATCTATAGTTAAGGGAGCATGGTAAACTTTTCTTTAAGAGTAATGCTACACTTACCACATTTATATCTCATATTTTCATACCAACTTATGTGACAGATGAAGTGGACAATCACATCAATTAAAAAGTGTCAATAAATCATAAAAGATAAGAAAACTTTAAATTAATTTTAATTGATGTGTTGTCCACCTTATCTACCACATAAGATGGTATGAGAATGTAATATACAAATGTGGTAAGAGTAGCATTATTCTTTCTTTAAACATAGTGCTTGATGAACAAGTAATATGCTATTTGATGCTAGGGAGACCAACTTTAGATACCAACTTGTGTATCATCTTTCTAACAGAGTGTTGGACCTATTGTATTGGTGGGCTCTACCTCTATTAGAGAGATGATACACAAATTGGTATCTAAAATTGGTCTTCTTAGCATGACCCTTATGGTAACATCGTTCCTACAAAGTACACAACACACTCAACTCAAGAAATAATTAATAATTAAGAATCTACCTGCATGCTTACGATCGAAAACCTACAACTTAATTACGCACGTACTAATTGTTAAGACTATATCGTGTACACACTGAAACTCGGTGAACAAAACATACATATTCTTCCTCAAGCCCTCTCCACAATGGTGACGGGAAAGCCACCTTTCATTTTTCCGGTGAGGTAGGCCACAAACTCTGGCTGGGCTCCACCCTCCCTCTCCACCGGGACCACCTTGAACCTCTTCAAAACCGCACTCACCACCCTCTTCATCTGCAGAAACGCCATCTCCTTCCCCAAACAGATCCTGGGCCCCGCCTGAAACACAGGGTAGCTGAACGAGTCCCTCCCGACAAACTTCCACTTGTGGGCCCCATTCTCCTCTCTCTCCAGCCACCTCTCGGGCCTGTACTCTGCCCAGTCCTCCCCCCCAAATCTCCTCCATCCGTCCCATCGCGTACACGTGGTAGGTCACCGTCATTCCCTTCTTCACCTTCGTCCCATCCGGCAAGACGTCGTCCTTCATCGCCTGTTTGCTGTCAACGGCAACCGGCGGGTACAGCCTCATGCTCTCGCACAGCGCCGCGTGAGTGTACACCATCTCCTTCACCTCGTCGTAACCCCCTGCGGCCGACTCCGGCTCCGCCGTTCCGCTGATCTCCTTTAGAATCTCGTTTTCCACATGTGGGTTCTGCGATAGTAGCCAGAAGAACCATGTGAGAGCTGCCGACGTGGTATCTCGGCCGGCGAGGGTGAAGCTGATGACGATGTCGGTGACGAACTTTTCATCCGAGTGGCCTGAGCCTAAGAATCGGGAGAGGAGATCCACGGACTCTAGAGCCTTCGTCTCGCTCAGCTCTCGCTTCTTCTCCCTGACAATGGTGTTCGCGAACTCACGAACTTCGGAGACCGCAGCTCGGAGGCGCTTCTCGGAGCCAATTCCGAGAACCCTTTTGAGCTTCCACACTGGGGGTAACGATCTGAACCTGTCGCTGCTGATTTGAACGGCTTCGTCAAAAGCCACTGCGAATTTGGCTTCGGGCAGAGAGGGTAGCAGGTAAGCCGGGTCGTATCCAAATGCGATTCTGCAGATGTTATCGAAGGCGAAGCGTTGGAGAATGTCTTGGAAGTCCAGAATTGAATTGTTGGTTGCGGGGGCGGAGAGAATGGGAATGAGGCGGTCGGAGAGCTCGGTGTCCACGACCTGTTCGACGAATTTACGCAGAGACTTGGTGTTGAATTCGTGGCTGGAGACTTGGCGCTGGAACTTCCAGTTGTCGCCGTCGGCGTTGAAGATGCCGTCACCGAGGAGGTCGGTGAGGGTGGTGCGGAATGTGTTGCCTTTTTCGTAGATGGGGAACTGGGTCTTAAGGATGTGCTGGACGACAGTGGGGTTGGCCGTGACGACGAAGTGCTTGCCCAGAGAGTGGTGGAGGGTGAAGGTGTTTGATGGCGAGCTTCGGAGGAGGTCTGTGAACCATGGGAGCCTGCGTTCATGGTTTTTGTAGAGGGTTATGAAAGAGCCGATTATTGGGTATGATTTGGGGAGCTTGGTGTTGTTGCTGGTTTTGGGGTTTGGTTGTGATGAAGCCTTGAAGACGAAGAAAAAAAGTAAGGGAAGGAGGACCAGGGAGGCCAAGGTTAAGAGCTGAAGAAACATGGCTGATGATGGCAGAAAAATGGAAGTATGGATTTGTACCGCTTGGTAGTGCTTCTGGTTTGTGATTTCTGGATGAATAGGTAGCAAGGTTTGGTTTCTATTTATAGTGTCACTTTGGTTTGGTTTGGTTTGGTTTGGTTTGATGAGATCGGATTGGCACATAAAAGAAAAGAATAAATTACTCAAATGGTCTTCAACTTTGTACTCGATTTATATTATGGTCACTCAATTAAATTATTTGTTCAAATAGTTCATCAACTCTATATTATTCGTTTCATTAGTCTTACCGTTACATTCTATCAATATTTCTGTTAAATATGAGGGCAAATTGGTCATTATTTACCATAAAATTAAGTTAAATCTGACCATAAAATTAAGTTAAATCTAACTTAAAATTAGACGGTAGGACTACTGGAGCGAATAATATAGAGTTGATAGACAATTTGAAAAAATAATTTAGTTGAGAGACTAAAATATAAATCAAGTATAAATTTAAAAACCATTTGATTAATTTACCCTAAAAAGAAAATTTTAGACTCTTTTTTGTTATATCGGAAGGAAAGAAACCAAAGGAGGGACCACCACTGCGGTGCCTCCTCTGGAGGAAACTTTTAGACTTTTCAATCAAACAATTACTGGAAAAGTACAAATGCTACTTTCATGTTTATTTTATTTTATTTATTTATTTAAAGGGTAACTCTCCTTTTGATGCTTGACTAGACTCAGCTTCTTACAATAGTATTTTAGTTATAATAGTTAATCTTATTAATGATAGGAAATTGTTAGATGTCAATTACGTTGTTATTAAGTCATAACTACATATTTATATTTATGATAATAACTTACTATAATTGTAGTTTATTCTCTAGAAACTTGTACGTATATTGTATAATGATTATATGAATAATATAGGGAAAATCAGTTTCTACAAAGAGCTTCCTAGACCGTATGAAATGTTCACAGAATGACAAAGACGTCGATGCGTAAGCAAAGTCGTCATGGTGGTTGAGAGGTTTAAGTAGCAAGCAGTAGCAGGCACATGTATACGGTGACCCACAAAAACCAGTATTGTCTTGGGACCTTACCTTCCCTTGGCCTCTTGATAATATTATGGATTAATGACAATAATATGACAATTTGAGTTTCTCTCGTTTCTCTTCTTTTTCTGTGATCCTCTCACCATATACTATTTGTTTGTGTTTGCTTTAAGAAAGTAGAAGCGACCCTGCTTTGCCAAGTTCCCCCTTCATTGTTTGAACTGCTACCGCGAAATAAAATGGGTAAAAGCGTTTCCAGATAATAAAAAATGATTCAAACATTAGAAGTTCTTATGGGTTATAAAAAGCTTCAGAACGCTTCTTAACAAAGGCACTTTGATGAAGCACTTAGGTTTTTACGAAAAAATTTCAGTGTATTTCTGATAGAAGCAGTAAAAACGGTTATGAGCAGAAACGCTTTCTAGACAAGTATTTGCAAATGGGTTCTAACATGATTCTTGTGTTTGTATTAATTATTTTTTATTTTTGTATGTTTTTCTTTCCACTACGTAAGCAAAACCGTCACAATGAGTGTCGTTATCAGCTATGACAATGGCACTTCTTCGTTATGGGAGTTTTCTATGGTCAATGTGCGGTCACCAATGGATTGGGGAAAGGCCTGTAAGCCTTTTGAAACTTGAAAGCTTAGACAGGAAGTATCCACCAATCCCATTGCAGAAGTCATGTTCCAAAAGTCAAAGAATACATTATTGCCAAGGTCATCGAGTTATCGTATGTAACCACCAAGCAATTTACTTAGCAACGGAACTTCTTATACCATGTGCTCGTCGTGTGATTAGTTATTGTGAGATGAATGTTGTTTATACATGTTACATGTTAGAACTTTTCGTTCCTATGTTGGGTTTGCATACTTTAATTTACTTAGCAAACAAATGGAAATTATTCGATAAGAGATACTAGCAGTCCTACGTTGCAAACCCAAATTTGCATGACACTATTTGAGAAAACTTTGGGGTAAACTCTCTAAACTGACTATAAGAGATCTGCTTGAATTTACAATGGAAGTGGCTTGGACACATAATGGAGCCAACCTTGGAGAACAAGAAATAGGAACTACATAAAAATGCTAATTTTACAGCCTCATAGAAAAACATGGAACTTAAAACCTGCCAGCTCTCCAATCAAACAAAGCGAAGGGCCAAATAGACCCAACAGTGGAAAAAAGAAGATGCAAAATTGAGCTTCCAAGATGGGAAAGGCCTATGTCCTTTTTTTTTGTTTTTTTTTTTTCAAGATTGTAGGTGACCGAAGGAATGCAATTGATTTCTTCATTTTTGCACTCAGATGATCGCTGATTGAAACTCGAAGCATTGGTTTTGATTTCTGCCTTTGTATTTCAAATAAATCTGAGAAAAAAAATGCATGAATGGTAAAGTAAATGCAGGAAAACATATTTTGAAATAATGTAGGAAAATTATGCAGAAAGCAAAAGCACATTTAAGTCTTTTGATAACATACTTACCATGTGATGGTGCATCTGAAGTTAGGAAACAGACTGACAACTGAAAGCGGTCCCAATTTTTCGCAATTCTCGCAGCTGATGAGCTATGTCTTGAACAAACCGTAGGCCTTCATTTCCATTTTGAAGAGAGTAAAGCATGTGCTCAAGAAAATCATGATCAGTCTCGAGTGCCTCCAACCTATCATTAAGGTCTGAGATTTCATTTTCCAGAACAACCAACTCGGTTTCTCTATGATCCATAAAATCCTTTTGCCCATGGAAATCAGAATCATTTTTTTCTTCATGGTCTAAACTTTCAGAATGAGCTGGCCCCTCTTGAGCAGCAGAGCTTCCGTTAGATACATGTAAATCTTTTTGTCCATGCACAACATTCTCTTCAACCTGACCATTTAATAGAACCCTCTCTTTTCTAGGAGTCTCTTCTTGAATTGGTTCGTCATCCATATACTTTCTAGCCTGCCCACCATTAGGCATGTTGGAGGGAACCCCATTACAGGAAATTTCAGAAAGCTTCCTCTCCAAGCTCTTCAAACAATTTGAAATGTATAATTTTTCATCCTCAAACTCCAAAAGCGTAGTTTCAGAAAAAATATGATCATTACTAGCTTTGGGTACCTCAGTATCCATTGAGTTACAAGCAACTTCGACATCCTTTTCTATGCCGGACACAACAGCACTTGAGTTGCAAGTAACTTCGATATCATTCTTTATGATGGGCACATCAGTACTCTCAGTGGTGTCAATTTCACCCTTCAAATCAGAGCTTTTGAGCGGCATATTCTCCATTGTTTCATCTGGGACATCAAACTTTGAAAATTCTAGCTCTGCTTCCAAGTCCTGTATCTCTTTCTCCTTTTCAGCCAGGAGATCATTGGCTTTTTCCAGTGCGTCTACATCAAACTCAGCCTGCTCTTCCATCATTCTTAAGTACTGAAGGGCCTCCATATGAATTGCAGCTTTCTCTTCTTGCAGCTTCGTGATCATGGCCATTGCCTGATTTGCAGCAATTGTGGAAGCACTCCTTTCTTCCTCTAATTCCTTATACAACTCCTTTATGCATTTTCTGTAATATTCAACCTGTCGTTTTAACCGATCATCTAGACTTTCACCTTCAATTTCACTGACATAGCCTTCATCCAGAGATTCAAGAGCAGATTCTACTGATGCTGATGTATGAAGCAGTGGCTTTGGATTAGATTTGGAAGCATCAGTCACCTGCTTTTCATCAGCACAACCTTTTACCCCAGACATTGTATTATTTGATGATAAATTACCCTCCTGAGCAGAAGAATTTAGTGAAGCCAACGGTTTCAGTTCCCCATCAACTCTATCAGGTTCCTTCAATGTAGGTTCTTTAACAATACCAGACGAATCTGCTTCTTTACCAGTGGCTGCTGACTCAGACACAACATTTACACTAACATGATTTGGCTTTACAGGAGCTGGATCATCTATGATAGGATCAGTTTTAGCAGATGCTCCATCTGTTGCACTTATAGACTTCAAAAGTTCGTCGTTCTTATTGGTGGATGCATGTCCAAAGTCGCTTGTCCCAGTAACATCTGCTAAAAATTTCAACAAAAAAAAGGAGCAATGTAATAATCAATGGCATGCAAGAGAGAGAGAGAGAGAGAGAGAGGAGAGAGAGAGAGAGAGAGAGAGAGAGAGACATAATTTAGACATCTCTGATGATTCCCCAACTAATGAGTGTCATCTAGAGTAATAAGTTCATAACTCAAGTGAATTGGAATCCTAAGATGAGGAAGGTTGAGCTTACTTTTTTCAACAACATTAGATGATGGAGGGACATCATCTGGTGAAATAAGCTCAGCTAATGCAGAAGGATTGGACGTCCAACTCACTTGCTGCCAGTTAGGCTCATCGAAGCCATTCTCAACAGCAACATTGACACCCAAGACCTTTACCTTAGAGGCCTTGCTACCATCTGGCTGCACACATGGATCAGAAGGTGAAGGTTTGTGTTTGTAGGAAAAGTTGCTCTGCTTTGCTGGATTCAAACCTTCCACTGGTGCTTTGAATGGATTTTCTGAAGCACATTGAACTACAAATCCTTCCCTCTTAGGATCATGAATTCCACTGATGAAACTGCTACCATCGTCATCATCAGAAAATGGAAACTCAGAGTCAGTATCAGAACTAATCTTCAACTCAGTGTATCCTACATGTGACAAGGGATCCCAGCCAATTTTTCCAGGACAACGGGCAGAGTCAGTATTAGAACAAACCCTCAACTCGGTGTATCCTCCTACATGTGACATGGGATCCCAGCCAACTCTTCCAGGTCCACGAACAGTTACTGAGGCAGGAAATTTATCCCTCATCTTCTTTGAACCATCCCGACGAGGTAAACGGCTACGGGTTGAAAAACGTGGCAAAGGAATATTAGGTTTGGGACTAGGTGATTTCCGTCGCAGTCCTTGAGCATTTTCTCTAGGTCTCCGATGCCTACTGCAATAAGAGCATGGACTTGCACCCACAGAACTACGAACAAAATTTCTGTTCTGGTTGGACCTCTTAGAACTGGAACTTCCAAGATCCAATCCTGACTTACCATCCAAAAGAATGTGCGTTTCTGGGTTGGAATCTTCACACGTTTCATTTCCATCGTGCTTACCATAAACTTGACAAGCTATCCAAGACGAGAGCTCTGATATGTGGTTGCTGCAAAGTAGATCCTGATAAAGTTGAGGTTTTTCGTTGCCTATAACATGTTCGAACCTCGAGCAAAAGATGCAAGGCTTTTGCAAATTGCAATAGTTTGCAAATTTAGTCAGCAGATAGGATAATAGTCCATCGACAAGCAGGAGAAATATAAAAAACCATTCACATGCTGCAGATGTTAGAACGGCTACAAACCCCTCTAAGTTCTTCTGCACTTGTACAGAAGAATTTTCCTTTGCTGCCATCTGCCTAACAATTGCTCTAGAATCTCATGACCTTCCAGTTAGGAAAACTCAAGGAAATCACCGGTTGATCAAGATAATAGATGCTCCTACCCTCCCAAATCAAAGTTAAGCATCCCATCTTCGACCGGCCGAAGCAAGAAACAAGGAATCAATTAGGAACATCAAAACCACAGCATTGCAGTTAAGCTACAAACAACAACAAAAAAGGAATTAAAAACAATTTTTTTATTTTTTTTATTTTTATAATTTCAATGCAGACCACATGTAATTGTGCATCACCAACCATGATAGAAGCTACTAACAGCAAGTCCCAGAACAAAACCACCCATCAAACTCTCACCATCCCAACTGTGCGATAAAATGACAAATCAACTAACAACGATAAACTTAAATAGAAACCAGAGGAAACTCACCTAACCTAATAAATGTGATAAACCAAACCCAGATTCAGTTCAAGAAAACCTATTTTGTGTGATTCAAAAACAAAGCAAGGAACTTTCAGCAAATTCTAATTGTAATTTCTCCGCATAATTGTATAAAATGAAGGAATGAACAAAACAACCCACACACAGATAGTATCATCAAAAGGGTACCATCCAACACAATGCACATTGCGATTTCAGAAAACAAATTAAACCAAATAGTCTGATCCTAAACAGAACGAAATTTTACATATTTTATACATTTCGCGGAAAAAGGAGGGCAGAAAAAAAAAGAAAAAAAAAGCGGGGTTACCTGATATGGAAGCTTGACGGAGGATCAAAAGGTGAAAGAGGAAGAAATGCAAATATGGATTAAAAGCATAATGAAAAGAAATCTGTAAAAAGAAAATTGAAAAAACAAAAGGAAGACGTAGGCGGAATTACGAGCAGGTCCTTAGCGGGGGAAAGTGACTGACCGTTGAAACCAACCGTCTGAGATTTGTTTGGATGCCAATAAAAGCGAAGCTCCAAGGTCAGCTGATTTTATGTATTGTTAGTTGCGCACGAAATAACACGTAATAAAAATCATGAAATGTGGCCACCCATCCTATTTTATTGATGATAGATAAGATAGTCATTAAGTTATGCATTATTGGATACATTTTGAAAAATATATATGATGAAAAAATCAAAACTATGTATTTGAAGTGCATCCATACGTGAGAATATATATGAATGAAACAAGCGAATTGTATATGTATCATTCTTTAAAATACATGCTCAATGTGTAGAACATGTAAATAATGCATTCACTTTACCTATATACAATAAGTTTACTCAAATGTCGTGTTTAGCGATCGAGATCAGATTGAAATGTGAAATAAAATTGAATTGCATTTGATTACATTGAATTGAATAAAATAACCCTAATACGTTAATGTGTTTGATACAATACATGATAGGATTATGATCATATCCAACACAATACATGATAGGATTATGATCATATCCAACTCATTGCTCTTCTAGCAGATATTGCTGGTAAGATGGTTGGGGGCACGAATGGGTGATTATGATCACATCCAACTCATTGCTCTTCTAGCCGATATTGCTTGTAAGATGGTTGGGGGCACGAATGGGTTCACCTGTCAAATCGAGCCTGTTGACAGCTACTCTCCCAAATCCAACGTGGACTATTTCCTTTCTTAATCATACCAAAATCAATTGTAATGTGCCAATATTAGGGCTAATAGTCTCCAATTTTATCAAAAATAGAAACTAGCCTCTAAAAACCTTTTTCACAGCACGTGCCAACATATCTTTTGACACATGCATTAAAGGCCCAATATCACCCAATGAGGCCTGAAAGATCAAAGCACAAATTATATGGGCCAAACTTTAAACTGAAATTTGGAAAGGGGCCGCGCGAACGCAGGCCCCCACTGCCACAAATTATGACGTTGGCTCTCCCACGTTGGGGAGACCATAGGCGGGCACCCCTCCTAAGTGCAATGGAGGTCACCAACCCAGGCCATGGGCCTTCTTGATCACCCATAGACCCCGTCCAGGTAAGTATGGAGCAATTGTCCTCCTCGACCCTTTTTATAATCTCTCTTCGCTCGCACTCTCCTTCACTTTGTCGATGTGGGATATAACAACAACAACCGACTAAAACTCTAAAACCCAAAAAAGAACAGAAGAACACTCTCACGGTGACAAGAGTCGTGGAAAAGATGAAGGAGCTACTGAGGTCGTTCACTGTGAGTTTTTGTGCTTCTGGGTATGTCCAAAGTTGTTTGCTTTTCTTTTGGAGTTTGTGAAATGAGCTGATTATGTTGTGTGGACAGAGGCTTGGAGGTGTTAGGGGTTATAGCGCGGGGAGGAAGGACCTTCGGATTAAGGGGGTTAAGCATACCATAGCCGTTGCTTCTGGTAAAGGGGGTGTGGGCAAGTCCACCACTGCAGGTATGTCTTTTGGCTTTTGGCAACATGGTTTTCGTCTACATGTTATGCTGAAAGGGATGAGCTTTGTTGAGTTTTTGGGTGTTTTAGCTTTGTGGGTCATGCTAAATTTGTCTAAATATGGATCTTTTCGGTAATTACATTGGTCTCGACAAGAGTAGTGTTCTGGGATTTTGGGTGACCTGATGACTGCTAAGTTAAAGAACCAAGTTTTATTTGTTGATTTTCAGCTCTTTGGCTTATTTTTTCGATTGAAAAAGGAAGAATCTTTGCCTTATTGGGTGCTGGAGTTGTGAGGTAGCTCTAAGTACTTTACCGATTTGAGATGGTCGATATAGACATGATAATTTTGTATTCACCTTCTCTCTGATTTCACATTTTAACATATTAACGCTTCCATAGCGGTGCTTATTTTCTGGTTTTGCTGATTTAGAATAACTTAGCATAGTGGTTGGAATTGCAGTTAATCTGGCTGTTGCACTTGCTAACAAGTGTCAAATGAAGGTTGGCTTGCTTGATGCTGATGTATATGGACCAAATGTTCCAATCATGATGAAGCTCGACAAAATGCCAGAAGTGAATGAAGGTATTTATTTACTTATTAGATGTAACCTGGCAACTAAACTTTCCAATCAGTTTTAGCTCAAGTGTCTCAAAAACAAAACTTGATGTATTAGTATTTGCAATTTCACAACTTATTATTTACTTATTTCTCACTTAAGAGATGTAACCTGGCAACTAAACTTTCCAATCAGTTTTAGCTCAAGTGTCTCAAAAACAAAACTTGATGTATCAGTCTTTGCAATTTCACAATTTAAGAGATTGTTAACTCCTCCTTTTGCTAAACCAGCCATTATAATGTGAATTGAATTCAGTTTTTCGTATTTGCTAATCAAACATGATCTAAGGAATAAGCTTCTATGTGTCATTTCATCGTCAAGTCCACTTGTGGGCTCTGCAGAATACAAGTCCTCTAATCAAGTATCACTCTGCATCACAACATGGACACATTAAATCTGATGTTATCTTTATTGTGAAGCAAACATCTAGTAAGGACTTAAAACTGAGACATACAAAACCACCAGACATATACATTTCTTAGCTTTTATCCTACTATGTATCAATTATTTAGTTCATACTAGAGAATATTAACATTATGGTCTTCTTCTACCAGATAAAAAAATGGTTCCAATTGAGAGCTATGGAGTCAAGTGTATGTCGATGGGACTTCTTGTGGCCAAGGATGCCTCACTTGTTTGGAGAGGTCCTATGGTATAACTTTTAAGTCTTTTCTTGCTTAAGGTTCTATTTAACTTGAGGTTCCCTCTCGTAAATTGATTGTCGATGCTAAGAATTAGTGCCAGTGTGGAGACTATATTATTATTTAAACACAGTTTAAGAGATTTTGTTTCCAACCCCTTTATGTAATTGTACTCAGAATCATGAGAGAATGTAAACTAATTAATTCAAGTGAGGTTCCGTTTGAAATGTAACCAAGTTTATTTTATTTTTTTTGGATGGTCAAACCCTTATATGATACAAAGATAAAGAAAGTATTTCCATTCCTTGTTTCTCACTAGGATTTAATTTAATTATTGCAGGTATCAAGTGCTCTTGAACAAATGACAAGGGGGGTTGACTGGGGAAATCTTGATGTTCTTGTAGTAGATATGCCCCCTGGGACTGGTGATGCTCATATTACTGTATCCCAAAGGCTGCAGTTATCAGGTACTTGAAAAACTTAAGCTCAAAATGCTTTTGTAGCTATGTTTAAATATCCCTCGTATTCTGGCCGCCATCTTATGGTTCTTCAAGGATCCTTTTATGCATTATGTTAGATATCAAGGAAAATCAATTCTGGCTTCGGTAGATTTCGTATAAAAAGGAATTTATAAATAAAGTATAGTGATTGTGTATTTGTGAGCACCAAAATTTTCATGTTTCTGAAGACATGCACTAGTGCTCATAACAAACACCCCCTCTCCCCTCCCCTCTCTTCTTACCCCTCACTCCTTCCAGAACATCTAAGTAACAATCCATTTTTACCTTTCCAAAATTAGTTTTGGTTTTGCAACTTTCATTTGGTTTTTAACAATTGTTGGTTTGTTAATAGGTGCATTAATTGTTTCAACTCCTCAAGACGTTGCATTAATGGATGCTCGGAGAGGAATTAACATGTTCTCTAAAGTCGAAGTTCCTGTATGATTATTCTTCAGATCATATTTTGATATGTCTTCATTTATCATTGAAAGTTTGTGGAGATCATCAATGGAATAATTTTACCATAGTCAAATTCTGATTGCTGTTGTAGATTTTGGGAATTGTAGAGAACATGAGCTGTTTTAAATGTCCAAACTGTGCTGAACGCTGGTTCATTTTTGGGGAAAGAGGGTCTCGTAAGACGGCAGCTGAGATGGGTGTGGATTTTGCTGGTGAGGTATGCTAATTAGTTTCATCTGTTTCATGACTGGTTACTGTTATAACTTTCCGTGCAACCCTTTAAGGTTGATTCAATTGGTATCAACTCCAATTGGGTCTGGATGCTTCTCTTTCTCTCCTTCCCTCTCTGTCTCTGTCAATTTTCTGTTTCAGGGAGAGGCAGTTACTTAATTTAGAGTACAAAGGGGGAGAATTTTAGGATCTCAATACCGAGCCTATTGTGACTCTTCTATTGTGACGTTCTAAAATCTCTTTTCAACTCATTATGTTTTGCTGCTAACCAGATTCTGTTTTTGCACGTATGCCATGAATGTCAGCTGCATAATATGTGTACCTCATGTTAGTTCAATGAACACATATTTGATCAAACTTAAAATTGTAATTTGAGTGCCATGCTGTGTCAGGCACACAACACTTGAAGGGCTTCTTCAGAAGTTCTTTGCTGAGTAGTGAAGTAAATCGAAAGAAGCTTTATGACCTTATTTGTTTTCATTTTTTCTCGTCGATCCCATATCTGTAAAGAGCAACACATTTTGATTTTCATAACCGGGTTTTCATCAGTTTGGCCATCCCCAAGTAGCTGAGTTTAATTCCTTTCTGAGATGAGTAGCAACTATGGTCATCAATCTTTTTAATCAAGCTGCGTAATGTTTCAGATACCATTAGAAGTGGGGATAAGACAAGGCTCCGACGACGGTGTCCCAATAGTAATATCGGCACCTGATTCTGATGTCTCCAAAGCATATGTTGATATGGCTCAGAAAGTTGTTGACAGACTTGAGGAATTGTCAAAGGAAGAACAATCTCGTCCACAGTTTAACCTTTGATTTTGTGCTGTCCACTTTAGCAGCTGAATGAAACCTTTTGCTACACATTCAGCAGAGCAGTAGTGGCAGATTCACTTGTGCATGCGTGCTTTTTGTAATTTTTCCTTAACATTATTAGAGCTGTCTTGACCTGCGAGTTAAGTAGGGAAAATGCCAAGTCCTTCGGGGTTTAGCCCTAGCGGTGAAGGAAGGGTGGACTTGGTTATGGAAATTTGTCTCGTGCTGCAAGTGACTTGTAGCTCAATTGATTTAAAGTAGTAACTCTCCTACTCGAGATCTTATGTTCGAATTCATGACCTCCAATATCGCTTGTATCAACAATCATGGTCATGTTTGCAGTAGGTGCACCTTGAGACCCTAATTGAAGTGTTTGTAGTAGGTACACTTCCCAAGAAGTCCTTAAGGTGCTGGATACCAATTTGCATGTATTCTTCTTTTAGCTTTGCAAACTTGCGTTTGCAGCCAATCTTTGTCATGATGATGACAGAATATGGTTCATATTCCCAACCCACCTGAATAGGGAAGCTTTAGAACATGCATCTAATAGTGGACCTATCTTTTAAATTACTTGGAAATGAATTCAGACTTTTTACCTGTGAAAATGACATAAATATGTTGTTTTGTTCCCTTTGTACACGCCAGGTTGCTTCAAGTTTTCAGTGATTAAAATGGAAAAGAAACACAAATGCCCAATATGGAATTTAAATTAAATTAAGAACACAGGCTTTGCAACACGAATTTTTTCCTCACATAACAAGATAAATGAATAAATAAATAAGCTAATAGCTCCATAATTCAAAAGGCAGGAGGAAAAAAAAACGATAACAAGCTGTTGGGGGATCATACTACGGGAAGTTGCAGCCCCAGCCACTGGAACCAATCTTTTCCATTCTTCCGCCATTTCCAGCGTCATTTGGTTTTTCATTTTCTTGCCCATTTCTCTCTCTCTCTCTCTCTGTCCGAATGCATCGGTTCACCATAACCCTGAAATCCCCAATTCCATACCATGCACCCTCCTCCCAGTCTCACCCAATTTTCCCCCACAACCCTAGGCTAACCCAATCCCAATCCTACCCCATTTTGGCGCCAATCTGTACTCGCGCCCATTCCGTCTTCAACAGCACCAGAGGGCTTGACATCTCCGCGCCCAAACACACCTCGAACTCCAATTCCAACGCCATTAATGGCTCCGTACACGACTTGAAGTCCAAGAGCGTCGGTGTTAAAGACATAGACGTCGCCACTCTTGGCAATCTCTGCGTCGATATCGTCCTCAATGTTCCCAAATTGCCCCCGCCCGATGTCCACGACCGCAAAGCTTACATGGACCGCTTATCTGCCTCGCCACCCGATAAGGTTTGCTTCTCGCTCAGCTTCTGACTGTGTGCGTAAAAAGTCTTGTTCTTTTTTGTTGGGTAATCTTTGTATTTCTTTCACTGTACCATTGAAATTAACCCATTTGAGTTTTTTCCTTTTGATTTCAATAAGTAGGAAATTTGGTTTATTTATTTATTTTTAGAACTGAATTTGTTAGGTGGTATTTTCTTTTAACTCTGGCGAAATTTGGACTCTTTTATTTGTTGGGATTGTTTGATTACAGCTTGCTTTGTGCTCAAGCTATAACTTTAGACTTCGTATAATGGTTACTGCTATTTTTTTTGGGGTGAAAATAATGGTTACTGCTATTGGTTTGTCAAAAGTATGTTTTTGGCGTCATATAGTGTAAAGAACGTTGATAATTTATACACGTCTGCTGATAAATTCTTCCAACTTTGATTATATGCTTCTACATTTAGCAATACTGGGAAGCTGGTGGAAACTGCAATATGGCTATAGCAGCTGCGAGACTGGGACTTCATTGTATTGCAATTGGCCATGTGGGTAACGAAGTATATGGGCAGTTCCTTGTAGATGTTCTTCATGACGAAGGAATTGGTATGGTTGGCATGTGTGAAAATACCAACGTTGAGAGTGCAAGTGCTTCATATGAAACGCTCTTATGCTGGGTTCTAGTGGATTCATTGCAAAGACATGGTTTTTGCAGGTAAATTCTTCCACCTTTTTCTTTTCTTTTAGTCACGGGCCTTCAGAAGATGCTTTCTGATTGCTGTCCTTCAGCAAGTTGGCATATGATTGTCAATCTGAATCAACCTGTTTTGTTCATCAGTCGGGCTGATTTCAGTAAGGATCCTGCATTCAGTTGGATGAGCAAGTTATCTGAACAAGTCAAGACAGCTATAAAACAGTCAAAGATTCTATTCTGTAATGGTTATGGCTTTGATGAACTCCCTCCTGGTGTAATAGTCTCAGCTGTAGAGTATGCCGTTGAAGTTGGAACAGCACTTTTTTTCGACCCTGGACCACGTGGAAAGAGCCTTTCTGCTGGTACACCTGAAGAACGAGGAGCACTTAGCCAATTGTTGAGGATGAGTGACGTTCTTCTTCTTACTTCTGATGAGGTTTGACATTTGCTGATGGAAATTATTCTCTATGATAATCCATTCTACTAGTGAAAAAGCATTTAAAATTCTACCTTAAATTGTACTGTAAAATTTTTCTTCTGTATTGTTGTTCTGCTAATCCGTTATACTGATATTAATGATTTCCAGGCTGAGTCATTGACTGGCATTGAAAACCCAATATCAGCAGGGCAGGAATTGCTCAAGCAAGGGGTGCACACAAAATGGGTGATTGTCAAAATGGGTCCAAGGGGATCAATTCTAATAACTAGGTCAACTATCTCTTGCGCACCGGCTTTCAAGGTATTAGTTTCTAACTTGACATTCTCACATGATCTTGCAGTCAACTTTTTAACTTTCCTGTTTTATGACACAGTACTGATACCCATAGCCCCTTCGAGGACATCCGATGAAATGGGAACAATATTAATTCACATAATTTATGAACTCTTCTTAGACTTATGTGTCTAAATCTGACTCTCTATCAAATTTTATTCGTATTGCTTGCTATTGCACCATCATGGAAGCCCTTCAAACCGAAATCATGTTTTTCATATTCTAACAAAAGTGATGTACATGCTCTGAATATGCCTGTTTGGTGTGTGTATGTGTATGTAGACCATATCTCTTGGCCAAAAGTAATTTATACATCCAGGAAGTACATTTATTTTTTGTTGCTCCAGCCTGTCTGAATTCAAATCCAGCTCTTTTTATTAGCTGATGCAACAATGAAAGTTTAGTTTTTATCCTGAATTGTGACAGGTAAATGTCGTAGACACTGTTGGATGCGGAGATAGTTTTGTAGCTGCTATTGCATATGGTTTCATCCACAATATGCCAGCGGTTAATACACTAGCAATTGCAAATGCAGTGGGTGGTGCAACTGCCATGGGTTGTGGTGCTGGTAGGAATGTGGCAACCTTGGAGAAAGTAATAGAACTTATGAAGGCATCAAATCTCAATGAGGATGACGAATTTTTGGATGAATTACTCGATGAAAATTTAGATGTCCAGGCAATTAAGTCTCTCTCAAAATTGGTCATAAACGGAAGTGAAAACCAGCCAAATTGTGTATCCTTGCAGAAGGTGGTGTCAGAATTGCTTCCTAAGCTCAAATTGACACAGTTACAGAAAAAAGTGCCATGCTGACATATTATAACAGCAGTAGGTTTTTAGCAATGAATTCTGTTCTGTTGGAGCTATCTCATTCTCTGGATTTGTTTAGACCTTTGCAGTTCTACTAACACAAAACGAGGCCCGGGTTAAGTTAACTGTAACTATGATGGCTTCGTTGCAAATGGGATCAGAATGAAATACTTTCCGGGGAAAACGTCAGTCAAGCAGGCATTAAAGCTTTGCTTTCCAGGTCTCTCTCTGCAAGCAGATTTTTTACCCTCCTGCGCGCAAGATGCTCGATTCTTTGCACCTTTTCAATACATTGCTTATTGAGCAGGTGAGGTGCCTTTGTTATCCTTTTCGTTTGCATGGATGTGGGGAGGTGATTTTTATACCTGATATGATATGTCGTGTAAAAGAATAGCGAAGGATCTTATATGTACTGAATTTTTATTTTTATTTTTGAAAATGCAAAAATCATAGATTTTATTCATTGGACATTCGCAGCAACCATGCATACATATTTTTATTTTTGAAGTTTGGGGAAAAAAAAGAAGAAGAAAGAGGCCAACTGGTCCAGTGGAAAAGGGTCTTTACTTGCAGACCAGATGTCTCAGGTTCGGATTGAAGTTGAGGGCATCAGGCCCCTAGATATCAGGCAGTTGCTGCAGTATTGGGATTGGAATCTCAATGTTGGTTCCTTTGGGAATTTGAATGTTGTTGAGGTCAATATCTTCCAAGCCTTGTCTTACAACAATCAGTGATGGGGGTTACAGGCGCAAGGTTTCTTGGATCACCATATTCAGCTGCCAGGATATTTATAATGAGTTTAGAATAAAAGGTCATATCATTCTTTTGGCAGAAAGGAAATCAATTCTTATAACAAATTTATACATGTACAGTAACACTGCATGAGCTCGTTAGCTTACAAGAGTATGTATAGAATCGGGTTTGTTCGGGAGTGCTTATGTATGCTATTACTCCATCGTGCTTTTGTTAGTAGCACCTTTGTACATCAAAAAAGTTACACTAGAATCAAATACAAATTCACCTATCATGTGCTTTTTCAGTGCTTCTGTCATCCCAAGAAGTGTAGGATGGCCAAACAAACTAGGAACCTATTCATTTATTCTAAGAGCTCCTGTCAGTCATTTTGAACTATTTACTTCAAACGCTAAAAATTTGCAATTGCTCCATTAGCTGAGTATGTTCAGTGAGTGAAAAAAAAACAGAAAATATATATATATATATATATATATATATCTGTTAAAGTAACATACTGTTTTCATGCTTGGAAGCATATCAGCATCTGGAATGCGATCCATGCAAACGGGTACAAGCTTGCCACTCTGGATTTGCAGCTAGTAACATCAAGCTCCATGATGCTGTGACGGCAGTGGTCTCGTGGCCAGCTAAGTATATACTCTTGCAATTATCCACTATGAACTTCTCTCGGGAGATACCTGAAAATAGGCTATCAGCATCACCATAATTTTTGGCTCCCTTGAGTATCACTTGCATAAGGTCTTTCTCATCAGCCGCCTCAGTACTAAGTTGTGTTGCAACCCGCAATATCATTGAGTGGATCTCTTTCTCTGATCTCCACATTTCTCTGTTGTTTTTCGTGGGCAAGTATCCACAATTTTTCAAGACATTTAATTAACCGAATACTTAGCATCATGCCAAGGATGAATTTCCAGAAACAGCATGCCAGGATTACCTTTTCTGATGATTAAATGAACAAAGTAGAATGAACATGAGTTTTCTTGTAATGCATATACCTTTAAAAAAATAATAATAATATTTATATTTATAAATAAATAAATAAAGGACCCTTCTAGTTGCATAAGTTTATGCTTTATAGTTATTAATTTGCTAGTTTCGACATCTCCAAAGCATATTGAAGAGAGAGAAATTTCACAGTAAATCAATTTGAGAGTTCATTTTTTTCTTCTTCTTTTTGTGTGGGAATGTTTTCCTTTGGTCTACCTCATTCTCTCGAGTGCTACTAAATTCTATTACTACACACATTATTTGTTGTAGAAAATTGCATGTTGAGTTGGAGTGTTCTTTGTAATTGCTTCACATTTCAAACAATACTTTACATGATGAATACTACTACCTCGCTTACTACTATACTCATAAATCTTTGTTTGAAATTATTGTTCTCGTTGGCAAAGAGATTGCAAAATCACCACCGTGCATTTTTGTTACAACATGTAAGAAATAATCTTAGCCTCTCACATTCTTTCAGTTAGTAAAATATGGAACAGGAAAATATGAATAAAATACATACGTGTTTTATTTGGCTACCATATAATATTTTAATATGATTTTTTTATTTTTTTAATATATATTATTTTTATTCAATAAAATACAAAAATTATTCATATAATACGTGAATTTTGTGTGTGTAATTGAAACTTTTGTGAAAAATAAGTGTATTAAATATGAAAAATATGTACGTACGTGTACAACACAAGTATTAAAAGTGAAAATGCTAAATTCTTTATACGAGTAATAGCTGTGGAAAATTATAAACTCAAAATGGGATAATAGAGACTCGGATAATGGCATAATAAAAATGGATAATGCTCTAAGTGACCCTTATCGATAAATAAAAATCAGGAGAAAACAATTAACAAAAAAAGATCACAATATCTATGTAAAGAGTATAGCCGGTCGGCTATACTATTCATAAAAAATAGGGAGTTTCACTAATATACCCAAAATAGGGGCTGAAATTATAAAAAAAAACCCAACATGAAAAACACTTTAGAAACACACCCAAAACCATTTATTACACACACTCAAAACTCATTTATAAACACATCCAAAAAATATACAATTGTTGATTTTTGGGTTGATTTTGGGTGTGTTTCTATGTTTTAAATAGTGTTGGGTTTTTTTATAAATTCATGTCTAGAATTGGGTTTATTTATAAATTTGTATAAAAAAATATTTATAATAAAAACCAGAGTATCGCCGCGCGGCTATACCAATTTTATTACGAAAAAACCCTGAGTATAGCCGCACGGCTATACTACTCAGCCGCCCTCGGCTAAAAATAGTATAGCCGTGCGGCAATACTATTTTAATAATAAAAAATTATTTTTTATTTAAAACCCCAAGTATAGCCGCCCGGCTATACGATTTATATAAAAAGGACCCAGGCGGCTCCTACTCCCGCTTCGACACGTGTCAAATAAGTATAGCCGCTTGGCTATACACTTGAAGAATAGTATATTTAATAGGAGTATCGCCGCCCGGCTATACGCGTTTTTACAAAAAAAAAAAAAAAAATTCCCCGGCTATACTATTTATAAAAAAAGGTGTCAAAAAAGTATAGCCGTGCGGCTATATATATATATATATTTTTTTTTTTCACGCTCTCTCTTCTCTGTTGGTGCGTCGTCTCCTCCCCATCGTGTTGCTTCTTCACGCCATCTCTTCACAGAGATCACTCCTCTCCTTCTCTTCCATACTGCCTACAGTTTTTTCTGGTCGGATCAATTGAAGCGCACTGCTAAGCTACAGGACCCAGGTAAAAGCCGCATATTATGTTTATTTCTTTCCAATTTCCTTGTTCCCTCTTTCGTTATGTAACTCTACTAGGTTTGTAGACAAGATAGTTCTGTGGAACACTAGCTTAGGTGGAGTATTGTCTCCGGGTTTTTCCGGGATGAAATATCTGAGGGTTTTGACATTGTTTGGGAACAGATTTATGGGAAATATACCAAATGAGTATGCTGATATTCAAACATTGTGGAAGATCAATTTTAGCTCAAATGCGCTATCTGGGTCGGTCCCAGAGTTTATAGGTGACTTGCCTAGCATTAGGCTTCTGGATTTGTCAAGGAATGGTTTTACCGGGGAGATTCCATCAGCTCTGTTTAAGTATTGTTACAAAACCAAGTTCGTTTCTCTGTCTCATAACATTCTTTTGGGTTCAATTCCAGAGTCGTTGGCTAATTGCCTTAATCTTGAAGGGTTTGATTTCTCCTTCAACAATCTCAGTGGTGGCATTCCTTTGCGAATTTGTGATATTCCCAGGTTAGATTATTTCTCACTGAGAAGCAATGCCTTACCAGGAAATGTTGTGGAGCAGCTTTCAACGTGCCAGAGCTAGAAACTATTGGATCTTGGAAGCAATTTGTTTACAGGTTCAGCACCATTTGGGGTTCTTGGATCAAGGAATCTTACTTATTTCAATGTATCACATAATGTATTCAGTGGGAAGATTCCTGAGATTGCAACTTGTAGTGAGGAAATGGAGTATTTCGATGCTTCGTAGAATGAGTTAGATGGTGAAGTTCCTCTGAGCATTACAAATTGCAGAAGTCTCAAGGTTCTGGAGTTGGGGTACAATAGGCTGAGTGGGAGCATACCAGATTACAATATCTGGATCTGTCACAAAATTCACTCTCTGGGCTAATTCCTTCTTCCCTTGGAAACCTAACAAAGTTGACCTATTTTATTCTCTCCTCCAATAAACTCTCAGGCACCATTCCTACAGCTATTCAAGGTTATGGCTCTTATGCATTTATTGACGACCCCTTCCTTGTGGTGCCCCTTTGGATAAGCCTTGCTCAGCAAATGGCAATGGTACTCTAACTCCCACTTCGAAAAAACCCAAGGCTTTTCGTGTGCCTGCCATAATCGCAATTGTTGCCGCTGCAGTGATTCTTAGTGGAGTATGTCTGGTATCAATTATGAACATCAGAGCCCGCAGAAAGAAGAAAGCTGATGTGACAATGGTCGTTGAGAGCACGCCACTTGGTTCAACTGATTCAAATGTTATAATTAGGAAGCTGGTTCTCTTCAGCAAAAGTTTGCCCTCGAGGTAGGAAGACTGGGAGTCTGGCACGCAGAAGAGCTTTGCTTGGCAAAGAATGTATTATAGGTGTTGGACCAATTGGTGTAGTGTACAAAACTACTTTTGAAGGTGGCATCTCAATTGCAGTTAAGAAGCTTGAGACTCTGGGAAGGATTGGAAACCAAGACGAATTCGAGCAAGAAATTGGAAGACTGGGCAACATTTTGCATCCCAATTTAGTTTGAGTAGAAAAATAACTTTCAGTCGTATTTTATTGTCGGACCAATTGTAGGACTGAAAGCATCATATCTGTGTTGTACGTTTAAAGCAAGAAATGCATGGTTGAAATTGGGCGGTTGTATTCCTCTAGCATGTTTATTTTTACTTGCATGTGTGTGCAGCAGTAACTTTTGTTTGATTTTTCTTCATAGCTTTAAATGCTATCTTGACTATAGTGTGTAAGACATTCCATTCCAGCTGAGGTTTTTTTTCTTGAAAAATACTTGTTTCTTTCTTTGCTTCTTGATCCATTTTCTTTGAGAGTGAAAGTGAGAGAGGTGTGATATAGTTTGTAAACATATCACCCACATTTATTTGGTATTAGTTTGTAACTGATTACCATTTAGGTTTTAGGGTCCTTACATTGAGAAATCATATAGCCGCAAGTTTAATGAGTTCATCTACTTAGAAATGTATATGATTGTTTGTTTATGATTAGCTTAATTTTTGTTATGACTATATTATTGACAATATATTTATTTTTAATGGAATACTTTATTTATTTTATAATTAAAATAATTGTTATGGTGTGATGGAAATATATTTAATACAAAAATATATATAAGAGAAAGTGAAAGTGTTTTTCCTTTTACTAAACAATTGAACAAAAAAGTCATTTCAACATAATGCCATTTTAGTCATTATATACAACTAACAGCACTTTCACACAAAAAATTATCAAATACTCATAAAGTGATTATTGTACAAACAACACTTTTAACAAAAAGTTTACCAAACGCCAAACTGTCTTATCTCACAATTGATTTCTCTCACATCAAAACAATGCCAAATTGGCCCTTAGAAAGAGAGACCAATTCCAACAACAACAAAATAGACAGACAAGTTACTATTTGGCCTTGTGCTAGCACCTTTTCACTACTTGTAAAAAATAGTATAGCCACATGGCTTTACTTTTTTTTTAAAGGGACCGCCTCGCGCCTCTCGCCCCGCGCCCATTTCCCTGCGTGTCAAAAATAGTATAGCCGTTCAGCTATACTATTTTTATAATAAAAAAACCCCGAGTACAGCCGTGCGGCGATACTATTTAAAAAAGGTGTCAAAAATGTATAGCTGCTCGGCTATACTCTTTTTATAATTAAAAACCAAGTATAGCCGAACGGCGGTACTATTTATAAAAAAAAATAATAATGCTTAGGAAGAGAGACCAGTTCCAACAAAAAAACAAAGACAGACAAGTTACTATTTGGGCCTTTTTAACCCAAAAAAATTTACTATTTGGGGTTTGGCCCACAAAAACATTTCACTGCCGTAAACAGTAACCTGTGAATGTGGTGGGCCAAAAAAATTTATTATTTGGGGTTTGGCCCACAAAAATATTTCACTAGACGTAAACAGTGACCTGTGAATGTGGTGGGCCAACAGTGCTGAATTGGCCTATGAGTGACAAGACATCTCGAGGGGAAAACACGTAAATAATTTTAAAACAGGGGCTGCTTGGTTTTTGGTTTTGATGTGGAAAAGAAAATACGTAAAGTCCCAAAAAAACCGTGAAGATGATGACACAACTACACTAGTGCCCCTCACTCACTCCTGATTTGTAATTGCCCCTATTGCTCGTAGCCCTCATCTTCTACGAAACAACGCCCCTACCATTCTACTTTTATCTCTCTTCCATTAATGCCCCCTCCCCAACTCATCATTAATTACATTACATTAGCTCTCAATTCACAATCGTGCATATTTTAGGAAAATTTTCAAGTATTTCTTTTTTAGGAATAATATAAATTATAATAATTAAGCATCTTAATGATTTCTTGTAAATAATAAAGTTTAAAATACTTTGTTTTTGCCACCATAAATATTATTTTGAAATCCAATATGATGATTTTCATCTATCTTTGGTTCATAGTAAAGAAGGTTTGGGAATGAGAAATTAATTTGTTTTTCATGTTTGGTAAGTCCAAGTATGAGAAATAGTTGGTGGCCACATAGGAAAGTTGGGGGAAAGTGAAGACCTCCTCCAAACTCGAGTTTTGTTCTCCCTCATCATGAGAATGAGAAAATGAACTAACATTAAATTCACATTTTTTATGATTATTTAACAAATATATATATATGCAAAAAAAGAAAAATGATAAACAAATTATGAAAAAGAGAGATGGGGGTAATATGGGAATTCCAAAAAATTGAACCAGAAGGAAAACCAGGATGACATAAATACCCTCGAAATTGGCTAACCCTAGAATCTCCCAAGTCCGTTCGCTGCCCTTGTTGCCCCTGCAAAATTTCTGTGCCTTCCCCCTCTCTACCCTTCTCCTTTCAGGTTTTCCCTCTCGCCCACCCGCCAAACTCAAACCTCTCTCTCTCTCTCTGCTCTTTTTTTCTTCTTTTTTCGGAAAATCAATTAGAATTTTTTATTTACTTATTTAGTTTGTTAGATGTATCTATACTGTTCTATTCTTGTTCATCTCTTGAAATTTCTGATTGGTATGATTTTAATTATATTTCTTCTTTTGGCTATAATTTTGCAGGTTCAGTTTGAGCTTCTGGTGGCTTCTGGGCAGTGGGCACGCTTTAATTCAGTGAGTTCTAACGCACTCCAACATTTTTTTTCTTCTTCTGGCTAGAAATTATATGTTTGGTTGCTGAGAAAGCTCAGGAAAATTAGCATTTGTGTGCTCTTCTGGTCTTCAACAAAATATTTAAATAACTTTGAGTTACCCAGTTCTAGGTGTGCCTCGGTCGTATTGGTTTGAGTTGAGATTTTTGCTTTCTTTTCCTTATGATTTCTCAGCAGCCAATTAGAGCGTGATATAGCATATTGAGTTTCAGACTTCAATTTAAAAACTCTTTCAGCTTATTCGTTTAAGAATTCATGCGTCAGAGAATGCTGTGTGCTGATCTCAATCTATATGACTGTTATTTCTCTGATTTTCGAGGGAAGTTACACAGGCAAACAATATTTGGTAACAATATGGTGCTCTAGCTGGGACTGCGTATCCCACTGTTCAGTGTAATGGTAAAATGAATATAAATTTGATCCAAAAATGCATTTTTCGTGTCACAGGTATACTCGAAAATACAAAGTGGGCAGAAATCTTTCAGCTTTAAGTTCATCATTTGATTGAGTTGGTGGGGGTTGATTCTGTTAAAACTCTGGCCTTGTAATGGCAAACCATAATTTGATTCTCGGGCAAAATGGGGAGTTGCCATTGAGGCAGAATTCACATCCGGGACTGGGGCATGATCAGAATTTGGTTCTAGGTCAAAGTCATGACTTTGCATTGGGGCATGCCCATGATCAGGATTTGGAATTAGGGCATGGTACTCATGACGATAAGCAGGTTTTTAGACATGCCCATGATCATGGATTAACTTTTGATCAGACAAATGAACATGAGATCGCGCTTCAGCATAGTCGTATTCAAAATCTTGAAGAAGAAGGTTTGGAGTTGGATCCAGATATTGGTCTTGAAACTGATCAAGAGAATATTGATGTTGATGACCATGATAACGAACTTGCTCTTACTGTGACACACGGGTTGGGTTTATCAGAGAATCATCAATTGTCTGTTGTGGAGGAACATGATCTTCATGGAAATTTAGATTTAGCGATAGATGAAAATCAGGATATGGGTATTGTGCCTGACTCAGACTTGACTTTGCAGCATTCCCAGCTTTTAGATAGTCCTCCTGTCCTCCAGTGTCGATCCCTAGCTATAGCTTCTAATCACCAGCTGGCTGTTGGGCAAGAGTTTCCTGATGTCCAGAGCTGTCGAAGGGCACTGAGAGATGCTGCTATTGCGCTTCGCTTTGAGATGCAGACAGTTAAGTCTGACAAGACTCGTTTCACTGCCAAATGTGCAACTGAAGGATGCTCTTGGCGGATTCATGCTGCAAAGCTGCCAGGCGTTCCTACTTTCACCATAAGGACCATCCATGAGGAACACACCTGTGGTGGAATCACCCATCTTGGTCATCAACAAGCCTCAGTCCAGTGGGTTGCAGATTCTGTGGAACAACGCTTGAGGGAAAATCCTAATTACAAACCAAAAGAGATACTAGAAGAGATT